TCCCGCACGGAACAACACTTTGTGTGATTTACAAATTGCTGTTTCGGGTCTGGGTGTGTTGTGTGTATGTGAATTTGTATGTTTGTAAACGAACCCTCGACACAGGAGAAAATCCAAGTGTGAGGCAACGTTTTTTTAAAAAAGATATTAATACAAAGATCTATCGAGGAAGGCTATCAAACATCACCCCACGATATGTAGGAGCCGAGCAGCGAGTGAAACCGCGCGAGATTAGTAAGCTGTAAAATCAATTAATATGTGCCTCTTCAATGCTTAGGTACGAGTATATGAGATACAATTTACGGAAGTCTCATAGTTTATATAAAGCAGTATCCTTATTAGGAGCCGTTTCTTAAAAGGCCATAGAAAGTTGCTCTAGCAATGGACCTATTTCATAATCTATACTAATATTATAAAGAGGTAAAATTTGTAAGTATGTATGCAGGGGGTAATCTTTGGAACCGCTGGTCGGATTGCCAAAATTCTTTCACTGATAGATAGCTACAATGTTCCTGAGTGCTATATGCTATAAAAAATCACGCTACGATCAAATATAGCCGAGCAGCGGGTGAAACCGCGCGACAGTAGCTAGTGTCCGATTAAGCAACCTCAACTGACATATTTCGTATGAAAACCAAGTAAAGTTTTGTTATAATTTTGAAGCTGAAAATCCAATAGGTCGATTTTTTTGGAGGGAAAACCATCAAATTATCATGTACTAGCGGCCCGCCCCCGCTTCGCACGGGTCCAACTATTTCACTATCATGGGTCACTTCTTCCTATACTTCCCCCTCCACTTTTCTAATATTTTCTTTGATAAGAACCTTCTCCTGACAATAACAAACACAACAAAACAAGAATTACGAAAATTGGTCCAGGCGTTGTTGAGTTATGCGTTTACCAACACATTTTGCGATCCATTTTTATATTTATGAAAGATTGGGGGCGATAGAGAGTGTCAGACTCTTACTGACTTAAAAATCCCTGTTCTTTATCCTGCTCCCGACTGGGGTGGCGGTAAATTATCAAGCTTACCGCAATCCCGGCTGAAAATCTAATCGGTCTTGGAACTGAACTCGGCATTCTTTCTCAGAGTAGTCAGATAGGAAATACCGGTTTCATCTAGTTTTTTTTATATATACAACTAGCGGCCTGCCCGTGCATGCATGCACGGGTGTCCCCGCTAACGGCGAAAGGGTAGCTATTTTCCGATTTTTTCCTCTATTTTCCAAAAAAATTCTTAAAGAAGAACCTTTCGCTTCAGCCTTTTTGACCTCGCACACGTCTTTTATTATTTTTTAATCGTTTTTTTGTTTTTCTTTTTGTATGTTTAAAATGTAATTGTTCTTGTATAGGTATATTTTCTGTCCTGTGTGAGTTTCGAATAGATGTTTTTCTTTTTTTCTTTCTTTCTTTCCTGTTGCAGTTACATACACAATAAAAAATAAATAATTTGGAAAATTATAAAGGTATTCCAGAGTACGCAAGGCACATACCAACACATTTTTTATAAATTAAATTTTGACGTGTAAAGGATTTGTTTTATGGCCTATTTGCAAAAAAAAATAATTGATAGCATTGTTCCATTGTTCATTCAATTAAAAAAAAAGAATGGTGGTGGTAGGTTTTGGCGAAAAACGCCAAATAATTACGTAGCCAACTTTGTAAAGTCTTGCATTTCGAGAGAGATTTTAACTGACTAAAAACTACTCAGTTCCTTCTCCTGTAAGCCTACCATGAAGTGTTAAAGCGTGAATCTTCCTTGCGAGAAAGAGGGATGGAGCTATAAAAGGTGTATAGCACCATCCCTTTTTTTCGCCCGGAAGAACTAATGGATAAAAAAATGATATTTCTTTACGCATTAGAAGCCGCGTGCGCGTACGTTTAATAATAAAACTAAATAAAAAAACTTATAGGCTATAAATATATGTTTATATGTATACTACATACAAGATTTTCCGGCAACTTTGTTGTGAGTACTTGTTGAATGACGTTCACAGCTAAATATAAATATGGCGGCTCTGAAACTTCTTGGAAACTTCATGTAACTACGTAAGTGTAATAGAAATAGTAGGTATCTTGTTGGTGGAGTTGTCAATCATGACTGAGCAATGATTCTTGGGCACATCATCATCCCATATATGTAAGTGCCCACAGCTGAGCAAAGGCATCTTCTCACACGGAGAAGGTTTGAGTATCAATGGCAACGCTTTCTCAAGGCGAATTAAATTAAAATAAAACGTTGCCTACACTAGGATATTCTCCTGTGTCGTGGGTGCGTTTACAAACATACAATTTCACATACACGTCACACCCAGACCCGAAACAACTATTTGTGGATCACACAAAGTGTTGTTCCCTGCGGGAATGAAACCTGCGACACGTTAAGCAGCCACCGCACCAATCGTGCAGCTTAATTGGTGATTTTAAACTAATAATTTAAAAAATTACTAGCGTCCCGCCCCGGCTATGCATGGGTGCAATGCTGTTTATTTCTCCACTATTTAATGGATGTTACTATAACATAACAATATAACCTTCTTCTTTAATTACTCTATCTATTAAAAAACTTCATTAAAATTTTAAACATACAAAGTGCCTTTGTATGTTTGTAGTAATAAGATTTTATATCCATGTGTTTTAAAAGCACTTTTTAAATAAAAATACAGATAAAAAAAATGTTGTATTTTGTCCAGGAGTGATTATGATTATTCATTATTTATTGATTGACAAAACAGTTTCATGAAGTATTAAAATGTCCAACAAAACTATACACATAGTTGGTCTGTCGGAATGAAATAAAATTAATCTGATGTACATAACAAGTGTGGAAGAGCCAAGCTTCGGCACGAATGGGTCGGCTCGACCGGAGTGATACCACGGCCTCACAAAAAACCGGCGTGAAACAACCACAGCGTTGTTTTTCACCGCGTGTGTGAGGTTACCGGAGGCCCAATTCTTTCCCTCCCTCAATCCCTAAATCTCCAAAACCCTAATTCTTAAAAGGTCGGCAACGCACTCGTAACTGTTGCGGGTATCCATGGGCGGCGCTGATTGCTTACCATCAGGTAATCTGTCTTCTCGTTTGCCGACCTATATGTGAAATCATGTTTGTAAACACATCCACGACACAAGAGACTGTCTTAGAAATAACTCTAAGTTATTTTATAACGTTAACTGAATTTCTATTACGATATTAAAACAACACTTATTTACATAATCTATACGTGTCTATCTGTCTGTGACCTGATCTAACCTACGGAACAATTGGATCAATAGTGATGATACTCGGCGCGCAAGATAAAGGATAATTCTGAGGGAAAGCTAGAGTAATATAACTTAAATTTATTTAGTGATATTAATAAGTTCATTACAATGAATATTAGGGCTTTTTTGTGAGGGGAAAATCATCAAATGACTTCCCCTTCCCCTTTATCCCAGGGTCGGCCGGGAGGGAGTGTCAGACTTTTGCTGACTATAAAACCCCCCGTTCTTTCTTCTGCTCTGGGCCGAGCCCGCGGGTCGCGGTGCCTCATTGCGCTTACCCCTTCACCCCGGCTGAACATCAGCCCTATAGGGCCCCGTCTGTGGTGGTCTATTGGCTCTATGAGGCGCGCGCGGAATGCTACGCGCCTTAGGGTGCAGTTCCATTGAGGCGGAGTGGAGCAGAGCGAAAAAGAGCTGTGCCGCGATTCACTAATCCGCTCCGCCTCAGTGGGACTGCACCCTAACGCTCGGGATGAATCGGGATGACTTTAGTTTGGTGCAGCAGGATTTGGGATCTAAAAAGGGTCAAAGCTTATAGGGCTTGGGTCCCCGATTCTAACGTTACAATTCTTACTACAAGGTAATTCATAATTTTCGAGAAATTTACAAAATACATTTCTAACCTCAAACAAATCTTTTAAAAGGGAAAACGGAACGTAATTAAAATGAGTGTTGACAACCAAAGCTGTCACAATATTATTGTTTGTGATGTAATACTTTGTGATACTTCGGTAAAATGGAACGCATAAGTAGGTATTAATAAATAGTTTTTATTTCGTGTCTATGGTGGCCCGGAGGTTGGCAACCGCTTCCCATTCATTAGAGTAACGGTTCGAAACTTGGCAAGTTCTATTGTGACCATTTCTAAAACATTATGTTTTTCTAACTAAAGGGCATTGGGCAAACTACCATGGCACTTGGTCGCGCTGTTATTTGGCACAGAGTTTTTTTTATGGTATAAGTCGGTAAACGAACAGACGGATTACCTGATGGTAAGCAATCTGCGCAGCCCATGGACACCCGCAACAGCAAAGGAGTTACGAGTGCGTTGCCGGCCTTTTGGGAATAGGGGTTGGGGATATAAGGATCGGGAAGGGATAGGGGAGGGGGAGGGGTTGGGCCTCTGGTAACCTCACTCACACGGCGAAACACAACGCTGTGGGTTGTTTCACGCCGGTATTCTGTGAGGCCGTGGTATCACTCCGGTCGAGCCGACCCATTCGTGCCGAAGCTTGGCTCTCCCACACTTAAAATAGGATAATATAATAGTAGTGAAAATTGGACATTAGTTATGGGTTTTGACGTATATGAAAGCAAAGTTAAAAACAAATTGATATATAGCGGGGTTTTTCTAAAAAAGCATTACTTACTCAAGATATTGTTTGAGGTTATATGTACCTATAAGCTGTCAAATCAATATTTTTTTTGAAAATAATTCAGGTTAACATTTTAAATCTGAAGCTAGATTTAACAGAACATGCGTTCAAATTCAGCTTTCACGCGGCGAAACACAACGCTGATGTTTCACGCCGGGGTTATTTTATTTTTACTAGCTTCCGCACTTGGCTTCACTTGTATGCTATTTTGATAAAAATTAGCCTATGTCCTATTCCGGAGTGTATCCTATGCCTGTGCCAAATATCAACCAGATCTGTCCAGACGTTTTGGTGTTATTGAGCAACAAACATCCAAACATCGTAACTTTCACTCACCCATTTCTCTTTCTTCACCAGGTATTTGAACACGCATATTCAGCTGGACTTAGTCAAGAGGACATCCTGGACAGCATAGCATCCATGCGGCCGAATCCAGGAGTTGAAAAGCTGATCTCCACATTAGCAGCGGAAGGATGGGACATAGTACTCATCACTGATGCCAACACAGTCTTTGTACAGCATTGGTTGAAGGCCCACGCATTATTGGTGAGTATAATTTTTTAATTGCTATGAGTCGGCAAACGAGCAGACGGATTACCTGATGGTAAGCAATCACCGCCGCCTATGGACTGCAACAGAGGAGTTTACGCGCTGTTTCAATCAAAATTCATAGAAAACCGTAGTTTTTGACATATTATAAGAAATCAGCGCATTCTTCGACAAATGAACATGATACTTAGTATAAAACAAAGTCGCTTTCTCTGTCCGGCTTAAATCTTTAAAACCACGCAAAGGGGGCGTCCACAAATTACGTGAGGTGTTTAAGGGGGGGAGGGGCTCGAGTCAAATCTCATCTAATCTTACGTTGGAGAGAGGGGGGGTCTCGGGAAATATCACGCAATTTTTTTTTAAATGTACTATTTTGTGTTTTATTATCTGTAATTAGTAATACTAATCAGTGTCGCACTAGAACTGTCAATGTCATTGTCATCATATCACTATAAAGAAGGTGGCCGAGAGAGTGTCGGCCATTGACAATGTAACTCTGGTGTAGTGAGCTGCACGACTGTGTACTGTGCAATAAAAGTCAAGATCCGTTCAAGAATCCGAGATCCAAGTCTTTTAATCATATTACATTTAGGCCTAGTTAATCCAAATTGGTAATCGTAGCAGAAAATTTAAAAAAACACCTCACCTAATTTATGGACGCACCCAAAGAATTTTGATGCGGATTTTTGTAATAGCCAGAGCGATTGAAGAGGAAGGTTTATATGTATAATAACATCCATTAAATAGTGGAGTAAATTAGTATCAACATTGTCATCACATGAGCTGATCTCTTTAATAAAATCCAGTTCAATCCGGTGTTACAGTCGTGACTCGACCATCGAGTTAATATCACATCTTACGTGAATCTATTTAGAACAATATCTTGAAATTGCTGCCAATTATCACACGAGTAGGTGGATGGAAGGTAAACACATAATAATCGTAAGTTTCCACGTGATACTCCAACTAAACTACATATTATACACTATTACAGTATACTAATGAGGGTTTTTTGAAATTTTCCCCTATTTTTTTTTTGTGAAGGGAAAGTCATCAAGTGACTTCTCCCGCCCAGGGCCGGGCGGGAGGGAGTGCCAGACTCTTACTGACTAAAAACCCCCCGTTCCTTCTCCTGCTATGGGCCGAGGTCGCGGTGCCTCATTGCGCTTACCCCGCAACCCCGGCTGAACATCAGCTCCATTGGGCCCCGTCTGTGGTGGTCTATTGGGTCTTTGAGGCGCGCGCGGAACGCTACGCGGCGTACGCTCGGGTCTGGTTCTGGTCGGGCGGCGAGCTACCCTTACTCACCGTCCGCAGACACACACAAAGACTTGGATCCTAGTTATATGAGTTTAGTTAGGGAGCTCACTGCACCAGAGTTACATTGTCAATGGTCCACAGGATGTCGACCATGATATTTAGAACAGACAATGACGGAATTATAGTGATGTACTAACTAGTTAAACTAATTGTTGGTGTTACAACAAGTAAGAGTCTGACACTTCCTCTCGCTCCACCATGGTCAGGAGGCCACCGTAAGCGCGGGTCTGCAGTCGAATCTTCTTCTCCATTCGAATCTACAATTTGGAACGAGCACCTAGCTTCACTGACGAACAGACTGACAGACTACTATTCTATTTTGACGTCGCAAAAGTACACCTATTTATGGTTTAGTTGGAATAAATGATTTTGACTTTGACTTTGAACCTCTATTATAATTAAGTAAGACTTGAGAATATAGGTACTTGTGTCGGCTAGGAGCTGTCATGCTTACTCAGAGGTCTCATTGGCGGTGGCACGGGCACTGGATCGCCCAATTCCCTATAATATGGTTGAGTTGGGCGGTGCTGGTGTACGTGTCATGTTCGTGAACGGGCGCCGCCTATTGGGACTGGTCAGCTCCAGTGGTCTGTCTAAATATGTTGTCCTTGAGGTTCACTTCTTTTTCGTACTTTTTGCCTGAACATTAGTGTTACATTGTTCTCACATATCAGAACCGACTAAATGATGTAACAAAGAAATGTATTGTAAAACTGATTGAAAAAGAGTAACCATGGAGTTTCTTGCTCGTTCTTCTCCATAGGAATCTACACTTTGGAACGAGTAAATAGCTTCACTAGAGGACAGACTGACACGCTTAATTTTAAAGCTCTTTTTATATACTTCTTTCCTTTTTTGCTTGCTTGACGTTCAAAAGTGCCTACTGTGGTCTAATTGAAATAAATGATTTTTGACTTTTTTTTTGACTTTTGACTATAGTTTCGCCATGTCTGTCTGTCTGTCTGTTCGTCCGTAAGCTGAAATTTGTCACCAATATTTATAATTCTATATCGTGGTAAAATTAAAAGTTTGATTTGAATTGTTTTCTTAGGGTACCTAGTACCCCCCTTACACGTACAGTAGGGAGTGTTTTTTTTTTCATTTCAACCCTAATGTGTGATGTATTGTTGGCTAGGTATTTAAAAATGAAATGACTTATCAATATCATATTTTTCCAAACAAACAAAGCCAGGTGTCACCATAGGGCAGGGCTAGTTTATGAAATCCTGAAACTTGATAACGTAAAGTAATTTCGTAAGTGCAACCTTGATAGTCATTCATGCGTCATCACGCTATACCCGAACGAGGACGGGCAGTACTAATCATAATTAGATGTTTTGTTTGCAAACTTGCAATTTTCTCGGTGACTAAATAAAAAATTGCTGAGTAGAAATGTATGGGAGCCATGCTTCCTCACGAATGGGATCGTTCGACTGGAGTGATACCACGGCCTCATAAACAACCGGCGTGAAACAACTGCAGCGTTGTATTTCTGTGTGGCAACCGGTGGATCCCGTCCTCTACCTTCCAACATCCCCCAACGCCAATCCTCAAGTCATTCATCCTCAAAAGACCGGCAACGCACTTGTAGCTATAGCATGTTGTGGGTGTCCATAAGCGGCGCTAATTGCTTACCATCAGGACAACCGATAGCTCTTTTGCCGCTGTATCCCATAGAAAAAGAAGTGTTAAAAATACCTAATACTCCTCCCCGTCCCTAAAGCGTTGGTAAAGCGAGGGCGGCGCCGATTCCGAGCGTACGGCGCGTAGCGCTCCCTATAGGGCTGGTGTTCAGCCGGGGCTGCGGGTTAAGCGCAATGAGTCACCGCGGCCTCGGCCCTGAGCAGAAGAAGGAACGGGGGTGTTTTTAGTCAGTAAGAGTCTGACACTCCCTCCTGCCCGGCCCTGGGCGGGAGAAGTCACTTGATGATTTTCCCCTCACAAAAAAAACATCAGTTAATCCTGATGAAATGATGGGTAACTACGGTGAAACGTGGGTGAAAAAGAAAAGTAAATAGAAGAGTTCGACGAGTAAATAGACAACGAACCAACAACTATTCATCCCCTTTTTTATGTAATAGGTCGGCAAACGAGGAGAGGGATTACCTGATGGTAAGTAATCAGCGCCACCCATGGACACCCGCAACGGAGGAGTTACGAGTGCGTTGCCGACCTTTTAGGGATTAGGGATTGAGAAGGGATTGGGGCTCACTCACACGGCGAAACACAACGTTGTGGTTGTTTCAAGCCGGTTTTCTGTGAGGCCGTGGTATCACTCCGGTCGAGCCGACACATTCATGCCGAAGCATGGCTCCCCCCTTTTGTGTAGCTAGTCACCCCGTTTTACGGTATGTATTTTTGTTTGTTACAGAGCAACATCACAAAGATTATAACAAATCGAGCGTTCTGGCAAGGCGACCGTCTCTTTATTGAGCCTTGTATGCGACAGTCAACTTGTCCACGGTGTCCGAGTAATCTATGCAAGTCTCGCGCCCTGGCGGAGTGTTGCGCCAACCGCTCGTATGACAGAATCGTGTACTGCGGCGATGGCAGAAACGATTTCTGCCCTGCCACGTTTCTACCTGCTAACGTAAGTATCTTAAGTATTATTTGCTTTAGGGCAGATTTTTCAATAGTCAGATAAATGTTATCCGAGGAATAAAATTGTTGCTGTCACTGTCTTATACAAACATTGTGACGCGACAGCATCATGATTATACCCCAAGCGTTTAGAAAACCCCATACTGATACATTTATTATGACTGAAATGAACCTGGCAAGTACCAATGTGACTTTTGCCGAGTTATATGTATTTTCTATGACTATCTAGACAGCACTGACATACGGTGAAGGAAAAAATCGTGAGGAAAACTGGACTTAAAAATTCTAAGTTTGAAATCGCAAATCCGCCTTAAAGCTTCTCCGTGTGAGAAGAGGCCTTTGCTCAGCAGTGGGCACTTATAGGCTGATGATGAGATGACGGGATGGTGTAATAATTACTTTTTGAATATTCCGCAGTCAAAAATAAATTATTTCAACTGCATTTATAATACTCAAAACAAATCTCATCAATATGTAGCATCTTCATTAATATGTAAAATGCTATTTGACGCTAAAAATTATGACGTCACAACGTCCTATTTCATAGAAAATTCGTATTTGACATTTCGAAAAAAAGTATTGAATTTTACTAGTTGGAGACTACCGTATTCTGGTTTTGTATGTGTGGGAATTTATACTATACTACTATATTATATTATAAAGCTGTAGAGTTTGTTTTAATGTACTACCTAATATACAGAACTACTACTACGAATAGAATAAAATATTTGGTATTCCATATATTGAGGAAGGCTATTGGCTATAAAACATCGCGGTACGAGCTATAGAAGCCGAGCTGTGAGTGGAGCAGATACCTGACAGACAGTCATCATCATCATCAGCCTGATGTCGTCCACTTCTGGACATAGACTTCCCCAATTGCACGGCACTGAGCTCGATGTTCAGCTCTTCTCATCCAACCACTGCCACTCTGCGGATATCGTCAGTCCACCTAGCTGGAGGGCGCCATACACTACGTTTGCCTGACAGACAGTGGAATGCCAAATGACACGATTCTGGCATACCTCTGTCGCTTCATCAGCGCTCATAAATCTCTTCTTGCATGCTCGATGATTGAGAGTAATTTAAATTTGGCCCTTCTCCAATATGCCAGTTTAATGTGGGAGAGCCATGCTTCGGGAAACTAAACAAAGAATACCTATCTAAATCGATAAAATAGTTCGGCGAACGAGCAGACGGATTACCTGGTGGTAAGCAATCGGCGCCGCCAGGGACATCCACATCACCAGTACCAGTTAGATAAGGCCTGAATTCAGCGGTTCCTGGAGGGGCTTCTATTTAAACAAAGAAAAATGCATTTATTCGGCATCAGACATAAAGCCGGAACAAAAAAAAAGCATTAAAAAGATTGAGTACTAATCTTTCAATGGTTAGATAAAAGTTACATGGGGAATAATTATGATGCTGTCCCGTCACAATGTATAAGACAGTGAGAGCAACAATTTTATTCCTCAGATAACATTTATCTAAATATTGAAAAATTATCCCTAAAAAGACAGAAAACAAAAATAAGCATAATTTTATAACATGGTAAAATAAAACACATTATTTTTTCAATAGTCAGGTATGTGTTATCTGAGGAATAAAATTTTTGCTGTCACTGTCGTATAAGACATACAAACATTGTGACGCGACAGCATCATAATTATTCCCCAGCTAACTTTTATATAACCATTTAAATATTAGCACTAAATATAATTAATAGTAAACCACGCTAATCGGGTTTATTTTTACATAAGTCATTATTATCATTAAGTTTAATATATTTTTCTTTAATTTCCAGGCAATAGTGTTTCCACGTCGTGGGTATCCCCTAGATGACCTGATCAAGAAGACCATGGCGTCTCCAACTCCCCAAGTTAAGGCGAGGATCGTACCCTGGTCGGATTGCTACTCCATCATCCAGACAATTTTCCCTGGAAAGTTTGTGGAGACCAACACAGTTACAACGCAACATATGTGATATTATTTTTAAGTATTTATAATTACTATTATTATAATTTTGTGTCCATAACTTAATTATGAACTATGGTTGTTTTTCAATATATTACAATGTACTTAGATGTTTAATGTGGATGTGTTTTATTTTTTTGCTCTTTCGCCCGAAGTTTCTTCTTAATTTCTTCTTTATTACAACCACACTAGGATTTTCGCCTGTGTCATGGGGGTTCATAAAGACAAAGTCAAAATCTATATATATTCCAACTAAACCATAAACAGGTACTTGTGAAACGGCAAGGTATTATATTATTACTAGCTTTCATCCGCGGTTTCGTCCGCGTAGTATGTTGATAAAAAGTAGCCTATGTCATATTCCGAAGTGTATGCTATGCCTGTGCCAAATTTCATCCAGATCCGTCCAACCGTTTTGGCGTGATTGAGTAACAAATATCCAAACATCGTAACTTTCACATTTACAATATTAATTAAGATATAAGATAGTTTGTCAGTCAGTTCTTCTTCGATTTCTCTGTCCTAAAATATGTTTGCATAAACTGCATTAAAACTACGCAACGGATTTTGATGCGGTTTTGTTAATAGATAGAGTGATTGAAGAGGAGGGTTTATATCTATAATAACATCCATTAAATAGTGGAGAAATGAAGTACCAATATGCACTCTTGCGAAGCCTGGGAGGGTCGCTAGTAATAAGGGGATGAGAGGGTCTATACTATTATTATAAAGAGGTAAAATTTGAAAGTTTGTATATAGGGGATAATCTTTGGAACCGCTGGTCGGATTGCCAAAATTCTTTCACTGATAGATAGCTACAATGTTCCTGAGTGCTTTAGGCTATAAAATATTAGACGCGCGACAGTAGCTAGTAAATAATTAATAACCCGCGATACTTTTGGGAAAGAATGTTACAATATAGGTTTTTATATAAATTTTCTATCGTCTCCACTGTGTGAAAGAGTTAAAGTACTTATTAGTTTAGTTAAAGAGGGTCTAAGGCGGAGATCATCTTTGCCTTAATTCTTCTTTTTAAATATTTTAATTTATTTTTGCTTTGTGTACAGAGCGTCATATTTGTAACTGCAAATAAGCTCTTTTAAATAAAGATTAAAAAAAAAACCCGCGACACGCTGCACGGTAGCCGGTTGCCTAGGCAACGCGTGAACAAGGGTTTCTCCACTGAACAGAAAATTAAGTAGAAGTGCCCCTACACTCTTTCAAAAGGAAAACCAGTGTCGCCAAAATCACACATTCGCAAATCAAATTGTCCATTACACACATAAAAAACAGCTATATAATTGGGTAAAAAGATGAAACGCAACTTTAGCAAATCATCTTCTAAATGTTGATAAAAATTGAGTCTTATAACAATGAGCGAAAGTTGTTATCATTTCACATGTCACAATCAATAAAGGCGTCTATCGTGTCATCATCATCTTCCTGCCCTTGTACCGTTTTATTTGGAGTCGGCGCAATATGTTTTTTTCTTCCATTCTGTCCTGTCACTCGTCACGTGTAAAATATAAAGGCGTCTATCGTGTAAAAAACTTAAATAAAACGTATTTTCTATTCCGTGGGTTTCTCACCACCCAGCTCTTCATGAGGATGACGTAAAATGCGACTAAGGTACTATTGACAGATTCTGGTCAACAGCGCTCCCTGATAAACCCGAACCTTTATAACTGCTATCTCCAACTTGGCTGCTAAAGTGGTAATTTATGACAAATCTCTCTTACACTTAGGATTTGTCGGTAAACACCTGATGGTAAGCATCTGGCGATGCACGTTAACACCCATTATACCAGATACCTTCTGGTATCTTCTTCTTCTGTAGAAAAGTAGCAAATGCTTTGCCGGCCTTTTGGGGAATTTTGAAGGTGATGTGACGAAACTTTTTTTTATGTTGAACGACGGATTACCTGACGGTAAGCAATCAGCGCCGCCCATGGACACCCGTAACAGCGATAGAGTTGTCAGCCTATTAGGGAGTGCGTTGTCGACCTGTTAGGGATTACGATTTTTCTGATTTAGGTATTAGGGAAGGGGAAGGATTGGACCTCCGGTAACCTCACTCACACGGTGAAACACAACGCTGTGTTTGTTTCACGTCGGTTTTCTGTGAGGCCGTGGTATCACTCCGGTCGAGCTGACCCATTCGTGCCGAAGCATGGCGCACTAACACGTAAAAGTTTAGGGTGTAACCGAACGTGTTAGTTTTTTGCTGATCTTAAATTGATATCGTTAGACACTCTTCAAACAGTAATCGTCAAAAAATTCATCTAAAAAATCCCAATAAAAATATGAGAGGCATGAGGCTCCAAGTTCAGATCTTGGCGCCTCCCAGAATTTGTCAGCTTGGGCCATCGCCCCATCACGCCCCCACAACGTGGTTTAATTTTATAGTAATTTACAGTTAAAAGTCTAAAATTTTAATTTAAAGGTGTTTTTGTTTTGTTTTAAAATCCCGAATGAGAGTTAAGTTTCCACCCATCTACAAGACGCCAGCAGCAGACGTGTTCGTTTTTCTAAGAGCCGAGGTCCAGTCGGCGCACGAGCTTTGGCGGAAAAAAAATGCGTCGATGTTGCAACGAGCTTGTTGGACCCCGAATAGCGTCCTAAGAATCATTGATGACAGATCCGATACTGTTCTGCTCAGTAGGTTCACCCAACTTCATGTATTGCGAAACGGATGACGCCTACTGTGCATATTATTATATGCCCGAGACATGGTCTCTGGCCTCTGTAAGCGCGGGCCTCTGGACGGTGAGTAAGGGTAGCTCGCCGCCCGACCAGAACCAGACCCAAGCGTAAGGCGCGTAGCGTTCTGCGCGCCTCAAAGAGCCAATAGATGCCCGACGCCCGATCCTGGACAGACCACCACAGACGGAAGAAGTCATTTGATGATTTTCCGCTCACAAAAAGGTATGCTATCTTATTGTTTACTTTTAAATATGTACTAACATTAGTTATTAAGCAAGCATTTTTATCACTAACAACCGTTGCCTGCTACGGATTTATTTGTCTGAATTAAATGAATTTTGCTGCAACTACAAATGAGTCAACCTATCCCTGCAGAAGCGACTTGTAACAAATTTATAACCTCGTGGGGTACAAATCTTTGTAGGCGTCCGTAGGTACGTGTTTTTTCCCTTACAATATATATTATATTCCTAGAAGGTTTTCATCAGTTTTTTTTTTTAATTTTAATCATCAACGGAGATGGGAATGACGTGTGTGGAGTTTACAAGGGGTTTGAGGATTGGGGTCGATGGGAAAGATGAGGCCTACGGTAATCTCAGCCGGGGCTGCGGGGTCAGCCGGGGCTGCGGGGCCAGCCGGGGCTGCGGGATAAGCGCAATGAGGCACGGCGACCTCGGCCTAGAGCAGGAGAAGGGACGGGGGGGTTTTTAGTCAGGAAGAGTCTGACACTATCTCTCGCCTTACCCTGGGCGGGAGAAGTCATTGGATGATTTTCTCCTGACAAAAAAAAGGCCTACGGTAATCTAATTTATACGAGTATGGCAAAACAAAGCTATGGTTATTTCATACTGGTTTTCTGTAAGGCCGTAATCGGGTCGAGGTAGCCCAGGAGCCTCAAAGTATCCGCATTAGGGCCTTACGGAAACAACCGTAAAGTTGTGTCTCGTCGTGTAAATGTGGTTATTGCAGGCTTTATCCTATCCTCCCCGTCCATCCAGGATTGATGAGAAGTAAGGGGATTTTAACTCAATGAAAAGTCAAATTATTACTAACATCTTTTATTTACGACATATAACTTATAAAGTGTATAGACAATATTTCTTAGTTTTTAATAAAAAGCGCATACAACGCCATCTAGCGTCTCATTAAGCAACACATTTTAATAGGTACATTAATCTTAGCCTACGAGAAATCTACCAACAAGCCAATTTGGTAGAAATTTAGTTTTTCTACATACCAACATTTTGATAGTTTTTTATTATGATATGGCAACATTAATAATGGCAGTGTTTGTCTAGCTTGATGGTAGATCCTCAAATTCTAACATTATTTTGTTATTATAATACTGATGACATTAATTAGGTCGTAAATGCGTTGATAAGTGTTACCATTTTATAAAATTTCTACCTTAACGGTAGTAAATAAATAGGGAATGCTTTAAATTACATGTTTTATCTTATAATTAATTTTAAGATGTGTTAACGTGTTAGCTAGACGTACAAGTTGAATATTTTAAACAAAAACAGCCATCAATACATATAAAAGATTGAATATTTTATCAAAAATTCGTTTACTGATAGATAGCTACAATGTTCCTGAGTGCTTTAGGCTATAAATTACACTTTATTTGCGCATTTTAGTCAAGCTATCGCTTTGAAAGCTGCTGTTTTTTATTTAAAATCCCGGAATACACTACTTAAAGCCGCGGGTAGAAGCTAGTTTTCGTTTTTTTTCACTGGTCGCTTGTAAAATTTTCGATAGTTATATTATTCTAGAATTAACATGCTAACACATCTCTGTTATACTTAAAATTACTTTACAAGCTGAATCAGCAAAATAATTATAAATAATTAATGTTTTTAATTAGGTACTATAAGTTTATATGTAGGTATATATTACAAATAATCTTAAAAGAAAGATATGAGGCTTAAACTTGCAGTTTTAAAAACTAATTATGAATTTATATACCTTTGTGTTATTTTAGACTATAATCTATATCTGTGCCAAGTGTGTAAGTACGGATGGATGTTTGTTACTCTCTCACGTAAACACTACTGAACGGATCTGAATGTAATTTGGCACACAGATAGATTATAGTCTAGAATTACTTATAGGATACTTTTTACCAGTGGACGAAGAAGCTGGTGTTACATAATTAGCTTTTATAACTTAAGTTATTTGCTTAAAGCTAGAATAAAGTATGTATATAAGGATTAAAATAATTAGTTTTAGTGGCAAGATGAGTTTGAAGAGTAATAAGTAATTAGGCAAGATTTTGTTTTGAATATAAAGAAATGATATTCAAATTCTTCTTTTTTGAACTTTAGAGAGTTCGATGACCCATGTATAAGCACCCCTGCGCTTCTCCCGGTTATAATATACCGGACTAAGAGACTAGACATTGTTAAAATCAAATTAATCTTTATTTGTGGTTTTCGTGGAGCTCTATGTCCTACCATTGACATTGGTGTCCAAAATCTTTTTTTTAATTATTGTTTTAGTAACAAAACAGTAAAATAAATGAAAGTGCTTACGTAACTGTGATTCTGTGCAATCCAAAGACAATTTCAGAGTATTGTAATTATTATATTTTATTTAAATGTCATTTTTTTTTAGGTTATTAATTTGGATTAGACAGAAAATGGGCAGCAGTGGTGTGTTTGATTAACTTGGATCTTTAATAGCTGTCAAGCGTGGATATTTTCAACCCTTCTTATTTAGAGGGGTTCAGTCCAGATGATATTTGCCATTAGCAGCCGATATGTTCAAAAAAGAAGGATTTGACTGAGTTGGATTTTTTGTAGAGAATAACTCGCGAAAATCTAAAAATAAAAAATTAAATCTTTCATAATGAAAATAATACTATTCTATGCTGCTAATAATTATTTGTGGTATTTATAAAATTATTATATTTTTCATACAAACTGTTACGTAGGTAGAAAGTCTGTTTTTCCACATTTACTGTTTCGTCAATCTATTTTAAACTATATTCGTTGCTTATTAAGACAGAAAAAAGCTGCATCAAACAATAGTTCGACATATATTATTATTTACTTCAGATGGACTATATAAAATTTTAATTTAAAAATATTCACTTTTAAAAGCCAATAAATTACATAATATATAATACTTAAATAACTAACTTATTCGTTTAATTATAATAAATAATAAACAACGTACAAAATAATTAGTTCATTATATTACTAATAATAATAATAAATAGAAATAGTAATAATTACAAAAAAATGAACACATGGATATCATTCAAATATTATTTTTTTCTTACGCAAATTAAAAGAAATTACTACACGCATCTTGTGTCATGGATAAAATTAATAATTATTATAAAATAATTTTATTTAAATTAATTCAACAATTTATTTTTAAATTAAATTATATACTTTATTTCATACGAATTATTTCGTAAATCGAGAAGCCTCATTGATTTTTTAAACAATTATCAATCTTTCAATCGTGTTATATATTATGATTGATAAATCGTTTAGTTGATAATATAACAATAATTAAGATTATTGCTGGGAATAAATCGCAGAAAATCTTCCTATACAAACAGAGAATCGGAATTATAAATTAATCGAAGTAGTTTTTTATGGTATGAGGCAGCAAACGAGGAGGATTTTCTCATGGTAAGCAATAAATACCAGATGAGTTCCAAGTGTGTTGTCGCCCTTTTGGTTGTAAGGTTAGCCTCGTCTTGCTAATGAAATATAACTCAAGCGTTATTTCACGCGGTTTTCTGTAAAGCCGCGGTTATTCCAACGGACGAATTGTCAAATAAATAAAAAATATTGTTTCTGAAATACTTATTATAATTATCCGATTCCCTTATCTTAAGTCAATCAATCAATAGTTTATTTTCACAAAAGAATAACTTGTATGTATCAAATCATAAAATTGTAAGCTTAGACCATGCATGAAGACGAACATTAAATTTGTATAAATGATATTTTTTTTGGAACAAGTTCCAAAATATTCCACGAAATTAATTAAAAAGTAGGTATTATAATCGATGGTGTATATTTGTCAGTATTCCTCCTAAACCCTATAATATATTAAGTATAATTATTTACTTTAATATTACGACTGGGTAGCCTATGGGTACTAAGTTATAAAAGGTTAAGAATTACCAAAAAAATTAAGGTTTCATGAGCGAAGAACTGTCGGGTTTTTTTATATTTATAGTTTTTACCTATCAATCTTTGTTATATTAAAATGTGTCGGGTTTTCCTTCCTGTCGCTATAACTCCGGAACTCACAAACCGATTTCCACGGTTTTGCATTCGCTGGAAAGATCTCGGGTTCCGTGAGGTTTATAGAAAATCTCAACAGAAAAGCGGGAATTTGAAAAAACTGTAAAATCGACATACACTCGTGTGCATAGCCACAGGCGACCACTCGTACGTGTATAAAAATAATTGAAAAATAAGAATTTTTACTGCCACTTCCCAACTATTTTATCATCTCAGAATCTACAGAAGAAATCAACTTTTGTAGCGAAAAGACATGTCTTCTTTCCGATCAGAACAAGAGTCATCAGCATTAATCATTAGAGAATTTAGAGAGGTGGAATTCAAAAACCCATTTTAATACAATTTACAACGTTTATGACAACGATAAAAAGTTGTTGGCTTCGCGTTATACACGACTTGTGACATAAATATAATAATAGCGCAGCTTGATTACGCTTATTATCAAAAAAGACACGCAAATAAACAAAATCAATTGAAAAGGTCTCTTATTATTATTATTTTTGTTTATGGCTCCTTCGTTATTGTTCGCAGATTTTGCCAACGTCAAGGTTAAATTGAGACTGTGATCGGTGTAAAAAAAAACATCAGTAACCAGCGATGTTTGTAGTTTTGATAAATGACAGTTCAACGCTAATACAAGATATTAAAAAGTTGAATACATATCGCCTATGCTACACAATTAGGCCGATGCTACTTTTATTCTGAATACTTATTTCGAAATCGGGGTATAAATTCGTTTCCTTAATATTGATATCTATTTAAATAAACTACATTATTTTTTGATTGATTAATCGTTAAATGCATATTATTATTTGATTGATGTTAAATTCCCACTGCTGAGCAGAGGCCTCTTCTCACACGGAGAAGGTTTAAGTATTAACTACCACGCTTACTCAAGGCGTATTAGCGATTTTTATTGTTAAAAATTACAAGTGCGCAGGTTTCCTCACGATGTTTTTCTTTACCCGTATGTCAGTGGTGCCTAAATTATCTTATTTGCCAGGTTTTTAGATGCTCCACTGACAATATATTAATAGAGAATCATTTTGTTTCATACAATAACAATGTAGTTTATTTAAATAAATATTTAAGTATGAGATATTAATTTGTTTTATTGAATCAACTTTACAAATTAGTTTGAGCATTCTGAAGACATTTTTTGTACTTATAGACCACCTACTATTACCGCGGGTACCGTAATATCTGATTTTAAACAGACTGAGATTGAGTAGCCACGGTCCCAGAGAAACCTACTAAACTGCTATCTCCAATTCGTTCGGCAATCGTGGAGATTGTGGCAAACACCTGTTATGTAGAGAACGCTTTATGTTCAACAGTGAACTGTCAGATTTCAAAGTTATGTAATGAAATTTATAGTTTTTTTTTTTTTACATAATTTGTAAAGTTGAGTCAATAATTCCTTATATCAAAGCTACCGTAATAATACATTATGTAAGGATGTATGTATGTGTGTATATTAATAAAAAAGCTTGATTTATTGTCTATTGCCAGGGGTGAGCTCGTTGTTAGTGTTGCCATGTGTAACAAAAAAATTTTGGTAGTTTTGAAATTTAGATTGGTATTTTTATATGGGGGATTTCTACTTTTCTCTTTATATTTTAACATGACAACACTTTTCGTTTTGATAAACAATATTTTTAATAAGTGTATAATATAAATACTTAGTTATGGGTAGTTTTCAGCATTTATTGTATTTTTTTCAGGATCGAGGGCACTTTTGATTATTTATTATATACTTAACGTACTTGACGATTAGCCAAAATGAATATGTTTTTTAAAGTTCCAAAATAATCCGGTTTTTGTTATGACTACGTGATAATTTAAAATTAAACAGCATACTTCTTTTTTGAAAAATACGAATTTTAGGTATATTATAAAATCAAGAAATCGTTTATCTGTGGTTATTTTACAGGAAAAATCTCCCTACCCAATGCCTTTAAGCGTAATTTAGCATTAATGTCCGCCATTTTTTTACCACAAATTTTTTCAGACATTATTTATTAGCAGTTTGGAGTAACAAAAACTGAAAATCGCTTACCCTAGGGTAATTATGACAATCCAGATTTAAGGGTAGCAAAGACTCGCTAGTTTTACATATGGTAATTATGATTACCTGTGTCAAAAGGGTAAAAGTGACATGATGGTTATAGGCGGTGGTAATTATGACTGTTCAGTTCGATTATAATGAGTATAAAATGAGGTAATAAGGTAGTTTCCAAATAGTCAAATTCAATATTTTTTCACGAAATTTAAAAAATAGCTGTGATGTTATCATTTTTACGTCAAAACATACCAATACAAGTATATCTTAAAATTTATCAATAAACGTATGATTATTTTAAACTATTTTTATAATTTTGTAAGTTGAAATCTGGGGGCACCGCAGTGCTAAGTCTCGAGCAAAACGGGCATAACTTATTTTTGACTGAAGAAACTACCGAATTAGGTCATCTCGGTTATATTATGGTAAAAGTGACCACGGTTTGTTAGACGATGGTAATAATGACTGTTCACAGGTTTTAGGGTAAAAATGACATTGTAGTTACAGATGGTCAGTCTTGTTCAGTGGAATGGGGTGGTTCTTGCGCATTTCTTTCCACAAGCACACTTCCTGACTATTTCTATATCTTTGGTGTATCTCGTTCCGTCGGAGCAGACTAATCTTATCTGTGAAACAAAAAAAAATATAATTTATTCATACAGCTTTAACATTGTGTGGTATCTTGCAACTAAACTCGCCAAACTAGTTCGTTTGATGGCGAGACGTGCTCAATTAGACTTTATGTAGGTACTAGGTAATATTTTCAATATTACACACAGTTATATATACATTGTTACATGAAGCATATCAGAATGAAAAAAAGATCAATTCAAATCAAATCAAATCAAATCAAATTCTTTATTTCAAATAGACCAAAAAAGGCACTTTTGAACGTCAAGCAAAAAAGATATCATAAGGTTTAACTTTATGTGTCAGTCTGTCCGTCTGTCCTCTAGTGAAGCTATTTGCTCGTTCCAAAGTGTAGATTCCTATGGAGAAGAACGAGCAAGAAACTCCATGGTTACTCTTTTTCAATCACTTTTTACAATACATTGTTACATAATTTAGATAGCTCCATTATGTGAGAACAGATTCACACAATTAAATAATTAACAATAATAATATTAATTAACAATATTACTAAATACTAAACAACGAATCAAATGGAATAACAGAAATATAAAAATATAGTTAAAGTATTATCATTTGTTATATTTAATTAGAAAACGCTTTGAATTAACCGAGCCTTATGGGATAGTAGTATTTATTTGTTACGCTTCTCTTCCTGCGGAATTTTTTCAGCAATCTCTGTTATACTTGAACCTTTTAAACTCTGATATCTGAACCAGCTAGCAAAGTTATGAAATCAATGCCAATCTTTATGTAAAGAAAGCCTGTAGTCCAAAGAAAATCTAGCTCAGGCTGCTGATGTGTAATGTTGACTGATTCTAGTACTTAGCATGTGATTTGCGCAGTGTGAGTGAGGGTACCAGAGTTCCAACTCTTTTTCCAAAAGCATTTGTAAACTCTGGCGTTGAGACTATCAGTGGGCGGCTACAATTGCTTACCATCAGGTAATCTATTTGCTTATTTCCGGTCTCCAAAAACCATTGTACGTTAAATATATTGCCTTTTTATGAAGGGACAATTAATTCAATAACTTTTGCTGCCCAGGGTGAGGCGAGAGGGAGTGCCAGACCCTTACCCCCTTATTACAAAACAAGATTTATCTTTAGTCCAGGTTTAAACCATTAAGTCGGGTTTTGAATTTTGAATCTTATTCTTATCTACCTTCAATTCGAAATACAAAAACTGGCTCAATGGTTTAGTCCTAGACTAAAGTAAAACCTTATTTTGTAATAAGGTCGTTACTGATTAAAAACTATAGAGTTTCAACTTCTCCTAAGAGCAGGGCCATGTAAAATAACGACGCTTGACGTTGAGTTACCTTTCTCTTCTTAGTCTTCCGTGGAGCACAGCAGTGTCCCTTCCCACAGAGCGCGCCCCCCCGCGGCACGCAGCGCGCCCCGCGCACCGCGCGCCGCGACCTGCACGCGCCCTCCGTTATGATCTCGCGGGTCGCCTCCTGTGCAATGCAAGTAGTCACTTAGGGACTCTCAAACTTGTGCAATCTATATATATAAAAGAAAGTCGTGTTAGTTACACCACTTATAACTCAAGAACGGCTGAACCGATTTAGCTGAAAATTGGCAGGGAGATAGTTTAGAGCCAGGAGAAGGACATAGGATAGGATAGAGTAGGTAGAGTAGGGTAGGTAGAGTAGGGTAGGTAGAGTAGGGTAGGTAGAGTAGGGTAGGTAGAGTAGGGTAGGTAGAGTAGGGTAGGTAGAGTAGGGTAGGTAGAGTAGGGTAGGTAGAGTAGGGTAGGTAGAGTAGGGTAGGTAGAGTAGGGTAGGTAGAGTAGGGTAGGTAGAGTAGGGTAGGTAGAGTAGGGTAGGTAGAGTAGGGTAGGTAGAGTAGGGTAGGTAGAGTAGGGTAGGTAGAGTAGGGTAGGTAGAGTAGGGTAGGTAGAGTAGGGTAGGTAGGGTAAGTAGAGTAGGGTAGGCAGGGTAGGTAGAGTAGGGTAGGTAGTCAAACTACGGGAGCGACGCCGCGGGTAAGAGCTAGTATGCAATATAATATATATAATATATGAATATAAAGTACATTGTCGATTGATGGAACAATTTTTTTACAATCAATTGCATGGTAGAATGGAAATAATGTATTTTTGGGTAAGTCAAAATATCCAATTATCTTCAAATAGGGCTCCAATCTGTCTATAAGTCCCCACTGCTAAGCAAAAGCCTCTTCTCACACGAAGAAGCTTTGAATATTATTCACCACGATTGCTCAAGGCGGACTAGTGATTTCAAGCTTATAATTCGAATTTATAAGTCCACGTTTCCTCACGATGTTTTCCTTCACCGTATGTCAGTGGTGTCTAAATGATCATAGAAAGTACATATGACTTGGAAAAGCCATCATGGCCTGTTTATATTATATCAAGTGTTGTGTGTTGAACTGACCTTTCTGCAAGCTCCTGTAGCCGGAGTGGGCTGTAAGGGGGCGTGCTCAGAAGGCATCTGTTGCTTGTGAGACGGGGCCGCTAGAAAGAAAGATATAATATCACTTTTTTGTCCAAAGAAAAGTTGATAGATTGCCATTTTCGGCCTATTTTCTATTGAAACAGTTTGTCAAGTATTATTAAAATATTAAGATATATGTCAGCGGAAAATAACAAGATCCGTAAGTTTATCAATTTACTAAGAAATTTATCCACATCTTCGTAAATTTATCAATTTCCGACATACGTAAAATATTACAATTTAATCCCGTTTAGAATCTTACGAAAGTTTATAAACTTCCTAGTAAATTGATAAACTTACGGATCTTGTCATTTTCCGGTGTCATATACAACTACATAGGTAGATATGCATTTTTTACTAAGAGCTATACTTCGGCATGAATGGGTTAGCTCGATCGTGGAAAGTGTCAACGCACACGCATACTGAATCCTTCCCCTCCCCAATCACTATCACCACTTATCTGGTGTGGTAATGTTCATGGGTGGCGCTAATTGCTTACCATCAGATAATCCGTCTGCTCGTTTGCTATCATATCACAAACAAAATAACAGCAGTCCAAACATGCATTTTTTCAGTTTTTATTTAATATGACAATAATTACTTTTTGTTAAAAAGATTATAATCGATACTAGCGCCACCATAGCGAAAACCGATAATTCATCTATCCTTACCTGGTGACGCTTGGACGTTACTGATGGCTTGCTTCCGTTGCTGCATCTTGCTGCCCTGAGTTATGACTGGGGCACCGCCTGCAGGTAGTATTCCGTATTAACACTACATAGTATAAAACAAAGTCGCTTTCTCTGTCCGTATATCCCTATGTACGCTTAAATCTTTAAAACTTCGCAACGGATTTTGATGCGGTTTTTTCAATAGATAAACTGATCAAAGAGAGACTTTTATATGTATAATGAAATCCATTAAATGGTGAAAAATTAAGTATCAGCTTTGCACCCGTGCGAAGACGGGGCGAGTCGCTAGGGAAACTCCTTAAATCTATAAACAGTGGCGCGGCAAAGCCTAATTTTAACATGGGCTAGACAGATTTTGCGAGGCCCTTTTCTGTCGCGATCTGAAGACGAAAGGCAAAAATTCTTGAGTCGCAAGGCCCCCTTTACCGCGAGGCAGTAGGCAGTGGCCCACGGCGCCCACGCCTTACGCTGCCTCTGTCTATAAAGAATCTTAATCTTAGGATTTTAGATTTACATTACAAAAACCAGGAGGTAACTTACTGATGGAGGCCCTGAGCTCGCACTGAGGTCCGGCCGTGCCCGCCCTACAGCGGCACGTGTAGTCGGAGGGCGAGCCCTCCTCCCGCACGCAGCGACCTCCACGCGCGCACGGGTTCGGCACGCACGGGTCCTGCAAATGACACAAAGGCATGGGTAACGAATATTTTACTTAATAATATTATAAATGCGAAAGTTACGATGTTTGGATGTTTGTTACTCAATCTCGCCAAAACAGCTGGACGGATCTGGATGAAACTTGGCACAGGCATAGGATACACTCCGGAATAGGACATAGGCTACTTTTTATCAACATACCACGCGAGCGAAGCCGTGGGAAGAAGCTAGTAAGTAAATAAGAAACCAACTGACCTGGTTATGTCTTCCGGCATCCTCTTGGACGAAGACAGTAGCCGCCATAGAGGTGGAGGGCTCATCCTCCCCACATCCAGCGGAAGTCCTCTGCACTCTCACAGCGTTCACGTAATCCACACGCTTGTGGTTTATCCATGCAGCCTTCATGCAACCTGAAAGATCATGTTTATAATGACTTGGCTAAATATTGTATCATACACTGTTCTCACATAAACGAACCATCTTAATGAAGTAACAAAGAAATAGATTGAATAAATGTACATAATAATATGCACTTAAAAACCCCCGGTCCCGAAATAATAAAAAACGTTGCCCCAAACTAGGATTTTCTCCTGTGTCGTGGTTGCGTTTACAAACATACAAATTCACATACATGTGTGTATATGAATTTGTATAGCCCAGACCAGGAACAACAATCTGTGGATCACACAAAGAGTTGTTCGGTGATGGAATCGAACCCGCTACACGTTGCGTGGTAGCCAGTTGCCCAGCCACCGCGTCAATCACAGCGTTATGTGTCGCCGTGTGAATTAGGACAGTGGAGGGCCAATCTTAATCTCTAATGCGCCGTTTGCTTACCATCAGGTTATCCGTTTGCTTATTTTTAGCTTTATCACACTAACTTTAACTTAAACTTTTAAGTGTAGGAAAGCTATGCTTCAGCACGAATGGGTCGGCTCGACCAGAGTGGTACCACGGCCTCACAGAAAACCGGCGTGAAACTACCGTTGTGTTTCGTTCTATGAGTGAGGTTTTACCGGAAGCCCAATCCTTCCCTTCCCCCAATTACAAAATCTCCAAATCTCCAAGTCAGCAACGCACTCGTTACTCCTCTGTTGTTGCGAGCGTCCATGGGTGGCGCTGATTGCTTACCATCAGGTCTTCCGTCTGCTTATTTTCAACTTTATCACATAAAAAAAACTTACCTTTAAAACTGGTAATGTTCCGTAGATGCCACTTGCTGAAGGCCTCCTTGGCGATGTCTTCTGGAACCCCTCCAAGATACATCGGTCTCTCAAGACGGAGGTACTCCTTGGACCCTGAAACAATAGGATATGTTGATGAAAAGCGCTAAATATATAGACAAAACGATACAAACATTAATTGAAAACAATGACTTCTTATTCACGTCAATTAACTAATATATACTAATATATTAATTTGCGTCCATCGCATTTATTATCAATTTTATTATTATTGTAAACTTAACTTAATAGAACCTATAGTAAGTCCTATTGACTTACTATAGGTTCTATTAAGTTAGTTTTTGAAATCTGATCCAACAGACAAACTGTGTATACAGTTTTGTTGGACATTTTATACTTTTTATAATGTAAAATGTACCTTTTAATCCATAATAAATAAATAACTGAGAATTCTGCCCCATTCCCTATCTGTCCACAACCAATCCTTCCCCACCCCAATCCCAAAATTTATCATATTATTTTGCAATGTTTTCTTTTATTTCTTTTTCAAACTTAGTGAAATATGTTTTTTTCAGGGATAAGTGCTTACAATTCTTTTTATATCACGTCATTCATTTTGTTTTTTTTATTTCGTGTGCCCGCAGATGTGTTTTTATCCCAACAGTCAGTGGCCATCTGAAAACCAGTGCCGTGCATTAGCAGAGCATATACTAAGATGGACCCCTTGCTACACTAGAAATTTTTATTTTTTGTGTAATGTTTATTTTTGTATGTTTTCAACTTATGCATGTGTAGCTAAATAAATAGTTTAATTTAATTGATTTCCAAATCCCTTATCTCCAAAAACGCCGGCAAAGCACTTGTAACACTTCTGGTGTCGCATGTGTCCATGGACGGAGCCAATTGCTTAACATCAGCGCGCTTCGTTAGTTGCTATGACATAAAATTGTTTGGAAGTATGGTTTAATGGCTGGTGGCATCGGTAAATTTTATGGTACCGACTTCAAATCCTGGTTATTGCGTGCTTTGCTTCAAAAGGTTTGGAATATCGTAAGTAGTATAAATTTGTGTAAAAATAAAACTTTTTTTTACTTGCAATAAACTAGTGCTTGACTGCGATCCCACCTGATGGTAAGCAGTGTTACAATCGTTGATGGTTTTTTTTTTTTGTGAGGGGAAAATCATCAAATGACTTCTCCCGCCCAGGGCCGGGCAGGAGGGAGTGTCAGACTCTTACTGACTAAAAACCCCCCTGTTCCTTCTCCTGCTCTGTGCCGAGGTCGCGGTACCTTATTGCGCTTGCCCCGCAACCCCGGCTGAACATCAGCCCTTTAGGGCCCCGTCTGTGGAGGTCTATTGGCTCTTTGAGACGCGCGCGGAACGCTACGCGCCGTACGCTCGGGCCTGGTTCTGGTCGGGCGGCGAGCTGCCCTTACTCGCCGACCGCAGGCCCGTACTTACGGTGGCCGGAGATCGTCCCTCGATCCCCGACGCCCGTAGTGTCGCCAGTTGCGGCTGCTGGGGCGTGAGGAGGAGGATTGCTCCCTCACGCGGGCCGCCTCTCTCTTTGCGAGCATGACTGCTTCACAAAAGGAGGAGACGGCGTCCCAGTTCCTCTCACTCCGCACCATGGCCTCGACTAAGGCCGGGCGCGAGAGGTCGCCGCCGCCGATCACTTCCCTGAGGATACGGCGGTGCTCAGCCCAGGCAGGGCATACCGCTACCGTATGCTCCACCGTATCCTCTAGGTGGTCCTCACAATGACGACACTCGGGCGTTTCCTCCCGCTGAATCCGAAACAGGAACCTACCGAAGCTGCCGTGCCCGGTAAGCACCTGCGTCAGACGGAAGGTGAGGACGCCGTGGCGTCTCTCAAGCCACTCCTCAAAGAGGGGTCTCACCGCTGCTATGGTAGCGTGCCCGGCCCTCGGTTGCGACAGTCGTTGTTTCCACTCTGCCATGAGATCTCGCCGGAGCTCATTCCGCCACGCACTAATTTGGCGCGGCAGAGGATCTTCGCCCCGGCGACGCGCGTCTGCGCGCAAACTGTAGACGCGCGCGAGCGCCTTCGCTTCTAGATCCCACGGCGGTGATCCAGCAAGGAGGTTCGCCGCCTCCCCGGAGATCGTGCGATACCCGCGGATTACTCGAATAGCCCGAATGACCCTCTGGGACGCGACCAGCGTACGAGCCGGCCGCCGCTTCAAGGCCGGCGCCCACACAGGGGCACCGTAGAGGGCCATGGAAATCGTTGATGGTAAGGCGTACTAGTTTATTATGAGCCGATTCACTCTAGCCTTGAAGACACCTAAATTGTATTTGGACGGAAAGACTGCAGCCGGCAAACTGTTCCAATCCCTCGATGTACGCGGTATAAATGACGAGGCAAAACGCTTAGTCCGGGCCGCAGGTGTCTCAACAACGTAGGGGTGGATATTTGCCGTACGCCGTAAAAAATAACTTTGTAACTAATAAAATCTATAAAAGTATATTTTTCAATACAAATTATATACTAGCGCCATCTATGTCATCCATGGTATATTACTAAGGCGATAAAACGCCGTACAAACGATTTTGATTTGGAATCCTCCATGCACTTATGACACTGATAGTAGCTGAATTTGTAAATGTGAGTGCCCTGTAACCTATTATAATTGGTTAGACTAGCAGAATGTCGGTCCTTATAACAGCTTGGAGTTGTCATGCTCACTGAAAGGTCACACTGGCGGTGGCACGGTCACTGGATCGCTCGATTCCCTATAATATGGTTGAGTTGGGCGATGCTGGTGTACGTGTCATGCTCGTGAACGAGCGCCGTCAGTTGGGACTGGTCAGCTCCAGACTGTCTATTGTCCTTAAGGTTACTATATTTTTATATTTGAATAAATATTAGTGTTACACTGTTTTTTTTTGAGTACCTTCATTGATAATAGATCGCGCCGGTCCATCATCCACCTTCAGGGTAAAGTTCTTTTTGATGGCGATCAGCTCCGCCTTGTGGTAGTTACCGTCAGAGACCATCTCGAAGCTAAAAAAATACATTCAAGGTATTATACGCTATTATTATATTATACGCTAGTTTCTTATATATTATTATACGCTAGTTTCCGACTTAGAAAAAAATAATATTTCTCTTTGAAGCTTGTGTGACATAATTTAATAATTAAGTTTAATAATAAGTTAAGTGTGGTCGTGGTGGCCCAGAGGTTAAGGAACCCGCTTATGAGGGTGTGGGTTCGAAACGTGGCAAGTACCAATGTGACTTTTTCCGTGTTATATCTACTTTCTATGATTATATAGACACCACTGACATACGGTGAAGGTAAACATCGTGAGGAAACCTGGACTTATAATTTCTAATTAACCTAACCCAACCCGCATTGAGCAAGCGTGGCGATTAATGCTCAAGCCTTCTCCGTGTAAGAAGAGGCATTTGCTCAGGAGTGGGCACTTATAGGCTGATGATGATGAAGTGTGGGAGAGCCTTGTTTCAGCACCAATGGGTCATCTCGACCGGATATCACGGCCTCACAGAACTGGCGTGGTGCTAAGGTCTCGTAGAAAAACTTGTGACAGAGGAAGAGACCCAATCCTTCCCCCATTGCCAAAGTGAAAGTAAAAAAAAAATATCGTAACAAAACCATAAACTTTACTTTCGAAACATCAAAATATCAAGTGTGGGTGAGCCATGCTTCGGCACGAATGGCTCGGCTCGACCGGAGTGATACCACGGCGTCACAGAAAACCGACGTGAAAGAAAGAAAGAAAGAAAGAAAAAATATTTAGGTATTTGCACCGCAATAATTAAAAAAAAAAGACACATTATGTACAACTTTTATAAGGAAAGTATACACGGCGCAAAAAGGCCAAGTGCTCAGCTAAAATGCCGTGACCCGAGAGTATAACTCGCGTCGCGGCGCTGATTTTCAGCACTAGCCCGACACTATAATATAAAAATTAGATACATTTTATGAGAGTACATACATAATTGTTATTCTTTGATATTACAAAATTAATATAATAATAGTATATATAAAAAAAAAAACATATTTGTCGATGATAACATTCACATCAATCACCATCATTTGATCAATCATCATTCACATCATCTATATACTTTATTAAAAAAATTAGACTTAAATAAATCTGCTGGCCCGGATGGAATTCCACCTATGTTTATAGTACGTTGTAGTATAAGTTTGTCATTGCCCTTATCTATATTGTATACTCGATCTCTAAATGAAGGAGTGGTTCCTGTTATCTGGAAAAATGCGTTTGTTACACCCATACATAAAAAGGGTCCCAAGCATCAAATTGAGAACTATAGGCCCATATCTAAGCTCTGCTTATTTGCGAAAGTCCTAGAAAAAATAGTTCACACTCAACTTTACCACGCTCTTCAACACTCGTTTAGTGAGGGTCAACATGGCTTTATGAAGAATAGGTCCACTGTATCTAACCTCTTGGTCTGTTCAGAGTATTTATCGGATATAATGTCACGTCCTTCCCAAGTCGATTCAATCTATACGGACTATAGTAAAGCCTTCGACAGAATAGATCACATTATCCTTTTACGTAAATTATTAACGATAGGCATTAGGGGTAATTTGTTTAGATGGTTTCAGTCTTACATAGATAACCGATGTCAAACGGTAGTACTCAATGGGTGTAAGTCAGTCCCGGTTAAAATACCTTCAGGCATTCCGCAAGGATCTCTTTTAGGTCCATTATTGTTCACCATATTTATCAATGATATAGGTTCTTGCTTTACTCATTCTAAAATAATCCTCTATGCGGATGACATGAAAATTCTCTGTCCAATTTTTTCGGTTCAGGATTGTATGGGTCTTCAGGAGGATCTTGACAGCTTACAAAGTTACTGTGCAATCAATAGATTAGAACTTAACGTCGCCAAATGCTTTGTTAATACTTTCACACGTAAACCGAATCCTATTTACTTTAAATATAAATTAAATCATACCATTTTGCATCGTAAAACTTTTGTTACAGACCTTGGTGTAATTTTTGATTCTAAATTACTTTTTGATACACACATTGAGAATATAATAAATAAAGCTAACAAAGCACTTGGTTTTGTACTAAGACTGGCATCTGATTTTCGTGACATTAAAACTTTTAAAATATTGTATTGTTCTTATGTCCGCAGCCATTTAGAGTATGCCTCGCAAGTTTGGAACCCGAATTACAATATTTATATTGATAGGATTGAGCGCATTCAAAAACGTTTTTTACGATTTCTACAATTCAAAACACGTAAGTATGTATCCGGTTATAATGTGCGATGTAAGAAATTTCATATGCTACCTCTCTATAAACGCAGACAAATAGCTGATATTTTGTACCTTTCCAAGATAGCCAACAATATGGTTGACTGCCCCGATTTGTTGGGTAAAGTGGGTTTGGTAACGCACTGTAAGACTTTGCGTAAGCCTAGTCTGCTTTATGCCCCTTGTGTTAGGACAACCTACAGGCAAAATTCTTTTCTTATAAGAGCGAGTAGATCCTATAACAATCTGTCTGAGCAACATGATTTCGATCTATTTCATACCAGTGTTTCTCGTTTAAAATCTATATTGTCTAAAAGCTTCTTTGCTTAACATTTATCATTTAATATTGTTATTACTTTGTTTCTTTCCTTAAGATTTATCATTTATTATTATTTTAAGTACTTTTGTTTCGATCGTCTGCTGACTGCTGCTGTTTTTGAATATTAGTATTTAGTTATTAGTGGAAACTTTTAATTGGCCTTAAAAATTTTCATTGTTTTAAATTTATTCATTTGTTTAGCTGTAAGTTTTCCGAATATCTTAAAATAAAATAAAATAAAATAAATCAACTCATGAAACAACCACAGCGTTTTGTTTCGTAATCCGTCTGCTCATTTACCGAACTATTACACAAAAAAACCTTAAAAAGAACCAGCTCTTCCGATCGTACTTACCTGTACATGGTGGAAGTTGGATGGTTTCCAATATCGTAGCTGATGCGTATCCTCCCGTTGAAGAGTTCCACCGCCAGGTGCTCGTTCTCCCCGAAGTACATCAACACTCCATGGAGCTGGGTCGTACTGAATACTGAAGAGGAAATGTATTTATGAATTCTTTATTTTTGGACACCATAAATGTAAATGTTCAATTTGTTTGTGTGTGTGATTTTGTCTGTTTGTGTGTGTGTGTGTGTGTGTGTGTGTGTGTGTGTGTGTGTGTGTGTGTGTGTGTGTGTGTGTGTGTGTGTGTGTGTGTTTGACAATTTTAAGAGAACAGAGAGGAGAGGATAATGTTTTGTACGTTGGAATTTAATTTGTGACGTCATATCATATATTGACATCATCATCTCACCGCTGCCAACAGTCTTTGCTCAGCAGCAAAGACCTCTTTTCACACCGAGAAGGTATGAGTATTAAACACCACGCTTGCTCAATTGGCCTTGTTTCGAACTTGCTTATTCATGGCGCCTTTATCTTCGCGGCGCCACGACCGTTTCTATTATGCTTCATCATAAATTTTTTCTTTTAATCATCGTTGCATTAAACTAAGAGTTTCTCCTATGCCTTGGCTTACAAAAATACAATTTCACATACACATCACACCCAGACCCGGATAAACAACTTGTAAATCACATAGAGAACTGTTCTGTGCAGAATCGGATCGTGCCACGTTGCATGGCAGCAAAAAAATTGTTAGGAAACCTGGACTAATTAATTTAATTATAAGTTTGATATCGCCAATGCACCTTATGCGACCGTAGTGTTTACCTAATGCTCAAATCTTCTCTGTGTCAGAAGAGGCCTTTGCTCAGCAGTGGGCATTTATAGGCTGATGATATATTTGGATACTTACTGAGCGTGACATTGGCTTGAGGTGTGGTCCTCAGCGGCTCCAGTTCCACCAGGGAATCATTGTGGCTGAACGTCAGAGATGTCAGGTACTCGCAAAGACGACCTGGAAGGAATATATATTTAAAAGAAATGTTAAGAAAAAAAGACATTTTGTTGGATAAAACACAGGAGATAAATTTAATATATAGACATAAATATGTATATATATATAAAAAAACCAATCCACCCGTCAATTAGGAAAACATGGGCCTCACAGAAAACCGTCGTGAAACAACCACAGCGTTGTATTTCGTCGTGTAAGGACCGGAGTTAGCGGAGGCCCAATCTTTCTCCGCATCCCCCCTAAGTTTACACCCCTTAAGAACCACTAACTAATCCTCAGGTTTTCTCATCCCTCAAGGATCAGGAACGCACTTTTAACTCCAGTGCTGCGGGTGTCAATAGGAGACGCTGATTGCTTATCATCAGGTTATCCACCTACCTATATCCGCTCGTGGACTGCCCTATGTTATAAATAAAATTGACATAATGCTTATTTAATTAAACGAGGTTGAAGAAAGCTCCCCGAAAGGGGGCAGTAACGCATCTTCACAAATAAGGTTCGTATCTCTTAGATATTGTGAGAGGATGGATGATAGGTAGGTAAACTATAATGTTTTTTTTTTTAGTTTAAGATTACTATGATCACCAATCTTGTTATTCAGTTGTATTATGTACTTTTATTTTGTTTTTTAAATTTGTATTGTTTTTCTTGTATTTAATCCTAATTAGTTTTTTTAACCGACTTCCAAAAAAAGGAGGAGGTTCTCAATTCGACCGTATATATGCTTTTTTTTATGGTTGTTCGTGAACCGATTTTGATAATTCTTTTTTTATTGGAATGGAGGTAGTCCCAGAATGGTCCAATGAAAAGGAAATCAGGATCTGATGATGGAAGAATAGTATTTATATAAAATTAACAATATAACTTAATGGCGTAAGCTGTAATGTTGTATATGTAAATATTTTTAATAAATACAAAAATAAATCTCGGTATTTACAAATATAAAATGGTAGATGGGGAAACCGCAATAAGGTACCGCGGTCTCGACCTAGAGCAGGAGAAGGAACCTAGGGTTTTTTAGTCAGTAAGAGTCTGACACACCCTCTCTCCTCACAGAGAAGTCATTACATGATATTCCCCTCACAAAAAAGAAGATTGGTTCAAAATACCTGAATATCCGGGCGCACACTTGCACAGGTAGTCGTTAGCGGTGCTCAACAGAGGGCGCTCCATTATAATATCGTCCTGAAACATAGACAGCTTTAGTTTCGCGCGTGCCTCAAAGACCCAATAGACCACCACAGACGGGGCCCTATAGGGCTCATGTTCAGCTGGAGTTGCGGGGCTAGTACAATGAGGTACCGTGACCACGGCTTAAAGCAGGAGAAGGAACTGGGATTTTTTTTTCAGTAAGAGTCCGATACTCTCTCTCGCCATTCCCTAGGTGAGAAAATTCCCTTAAGATTTTCCCCTCACAAAACAAAAGACGAAAAACATCGTGAGGAAACTTGGACGTATAATTTCTAATTTTAAGTTTGAAATCGCCACCCTCCTTGAGCAAGCGTGGTGGTTAATGCTCAAACCTTCTCCGTGTGAGAAGAGGCCTTTGCTCAGCAGTAGACACTTATAGGCTGATGATGATGAAAGGCAGGCAGATCAGGACGAATAAGTGACTCCCTTTTCCCTCAAATCTCAAAAAGGCTGGTAATGCAATTGTAACACTAACACCCGGTTTCTGAAAGGCTTGTCAACGCTAAAATTAACTAATCTCCTGTTAAATCTCTTGTCAAGTCACCTGATTGGTTGTCGATGATTCAGTCTACCAATCAGATGACTTGACAAGAGATGAAATTGATTTTAACATTGATCGGCCTTTCGGAAACCGGGACTTAGAATCTCATCACTTGCTTACCATCAGGTAATTTAACTCGTTAGCCAATGATGAAAATGTAGTACAGTTACCTGCAGTGGTCTCGGCTGTGGCAGATAGCAGACTCCGTGTACACAGTCGTGGTGTGCGCAGGGCGAAGTCCCGAGCGCGGCGTGGGGCGCAGCCTCGCAGTACCGGCCCGCGTACCCGGCTGCGCACGCGCATCTGTACTCGTCTAGACCGTCCACGCAGGACGCGCCGTTCTGGAGACAAAATATATTAAGTATTTATCTACTCTAATATTATAATATATAATCTATACTTAATATATTACAATAAAGAGGTAAAATTTGTAAGTTTGTATGTAGGGGGTAATCTTTGGAACCGCTGGTCGGATTGCCAAAATTCTTTCACTAATAGATAGCTACAATGTTCCCGAATGCTATAGGCTATAAAACATCACGCTACGGTATGTAGGAACCGAGCAGCGGTTGAAACAGCGGTACAGTAATTTAACTTTTAAACAAAAATTTCTAATAGTAACACTTTAATTTAAGTTTAACTAGATAAAAAATATGGGCTAAGTGAGAGTTAGTATAAAAAACGGATAGAAACATTGTCATACCTGGCACATATGGTTGATGCAATCGTCAGCGTTGATCGTGCAGTTCTGTCCGGAGTATCCCTTGGGGCAAGTGCATGTGTAGTGACTGTGGTGGTCGGTGCACACTGCACCGTTCTCACAAGGGTTGAACTCCTTCGTGCAGTAAGGAATTTTCTTTTCGCAGAATTCTCCTGAAAGTGCATAGATACAGGTGAAGGTCTCTGTGTAAGCGTGGGAGAGCCATGCTTTGGCAAAAATGGCCACATAGAATACCAGCGTAAAATAACCAAAGCATTCCTTGATTTATTTCATCATCATCATCATCATCATCAGCCTATAAGTGCCCACTGCTGAGCAAAGGCCTCTTCTCATACGGAGAATGTTTGAGCATTAATCACTATGCTTGCTTAATGAGGGTTTGCGATTTCAAACTTATAATTTGAAATTATGCGTCCAGGCTTCCTCACGATGTTTACCTTCACCGTATGTCAGTGGTGTCTAAATAACCATAGAAAGTACATATAACTCGGAAAAAGTTACATTGGTAGTTAGTTGCCAGGTTTCGGACCCTCATGCATGAGAAGCGGGCTCCTTAACCTCCGGACCACCACGACTTCTGCTATCTTCTCCCTCCTCCATCCCTAATCCCCAAAATACCTAACTCCCAAAAAGCCAGTAACGTAATTGTAACTCCTCCGTTGTTACAGGTCCATGGGCGGCGCTGATTGCTTACCATCAGGTAAACAGCCTGCTAATTAGCCTATCACATAAAAAAATGGAAGAAACCTTACCCATGAATCCAGGTGCGCATTTGCAGGAGTATCCCTCGAGATGGTCGACACATGTGGCGTTGTTCTGGCATTTGTTAGCAACGCAATCATCAATGTTGACCTCGCAGCGAGCTCCTGTGTACCCCGCCTGGCAGGAGCAGCTGGGAAGATAATATTAATATTAATTTAAGTAGACTATATCTAAGAGCCAAACTTCGGCACGAATGGGCCGGCTCCATAAATACCACGGCCTTACAGAAAACTGGCGTGAAACAACCACAGCGTTGTGTTTCGCCGTGTGAGTGAGATTACCGGGCCCAATCCCTCCCCTCCCCCATCCCTGTCCAATCTTTAAATATCCAAAACCCTTAAAGTCCGGTAACGCACTCGTCAGCCGGGGTTGCGGGGTAAGCGCAATGAGGTACCGCGACCTCGGCACAGAGCAGGAGAAGGAACAGGGGGGTTTTAAGTCAGTAAGAGTCTGACACTCATTCTCGCCTCACCCTGGGCGGGAAAGTCATTTGACGATTTTCACCTAACACAAAAAAACTCGCTTTGCCGACCTATAACATAACAAAAAGGTTTGAAGTACAGTTCTGTCACCAGATGAAGTGTGGGAGAGCCATGGTTCGGCTCGACCGGTGTTATACCACGGCCTTGCAGTAAATCCACATGAAAATTCTTCACACTGTGGTGTGGACGTTACTGAAGGTCATACCCTGGTTTTTCCACATAATACTGAGTTCGGCAAGTACTGTTTTATATTATTTAACGATAAATTCATTTTCCCAAGTTTAATCTTTCCTCTCCCTTAATCCTCCGTCCTCTCCCCCAATCTCTAAATCTCCGAAACCCTTATCCCCAGAAGACCATGTAACTCTACTATTGTTACGAGCATCATCTACTCACAAAGACCAACAACTTCAACAAACTGATAAAATGACTTTTCTCGGTATAGTTATAGACGAAAGGTGCTCCTGGATTAATCATGTAGACAAGGTATGCGAGAAGCTTGCTAAGTTTGCTTATGCTCTCTGGCGATTATCTAGCCTAACAACTAGGCAAGCTACATTACAGGCTTATCATGCCTATGTTGGTTCAGTGTTACGCTATGGTATATTGGTATGGGGCAACTCGGTACATATCGAAAACGCACTAATTGCTCAGAAACGATGTATACGTGCTATATGTAATGTAGACCCACTTACATCATGCAAACCATTATTTAAGAAACTTAAGATCCTAACCGTAATTTGTATTTATATTGAAGAAATCTGTAAATTTACAAAGTGTCATCCTGAGCTATTTGAAAAAGTGGGAGATTACTGTAACTTCAAAACTAGATAAACAACTAAATTAAGTCTTCCTAGTATGAAAACCGAGCTATACAAACGTAGTTGCTTCCCCATGTGTATCCAAATTTATAATAAACTTCCTGTCCAACTTCGAGAGTTGCCAATTACTCGATTCAAAAGGGCATTACGTGTATGGCTAATTGAGAATCCCTTCTACTCTATAAAAGATTTTCTGCAATATAGATTTCCAAAATAATGTATTAATATTATCAAAACAAACATTTGCATGTCATTAGCTTATGACTGAATACTGAACTTATTGATATTATTGTAACACCTTTTATGTAACTGTATTCAAGAGCAAATAAATCCTTTGACTTTGACTTTGACTTTGATCAATCGCTTACCATCAGGTAATCCGTCTTCTTAAACAATACTTACTGGAATCGACCCTCCTCGAGCACTCGACACAGTCCGTGCGCACACGGGGACCCATAGCAGGCGTCGATCTGATGTTGACACTGGTCGCCATGGTAACCCCGCGCACACAGACACTCGTGGCCGCCGGCGCCGCGCGCGCGACACGACCCGCCGTTGCGACAAGGGTTGCTATAGCAACTGTCGCATTTCGATATCACTTCTGCCGGAGGTTTTCCTAGAAAAAAACATGGGAATGGTAAATTTATCTGTCGTAGTGGTCTGGGGGTTATGTAGGAGAGTCATGCATGCGTCGGTTCGACCGGAGTGATACCACGGCCTCACAGAAAACCCGCGTGAAACAACCACAGCGTTATTTCGCCGTGTGAGGAGTGAGGTTACCGGAGGCCCAATCCCTCCCGCTTCCCCCATACCTTCCCAATGCTTATTAAAACAAAACCTTTATCACTAAAAGGGCGGCAATGCTCTCGTAACTCCTCTGTTGTTGCGGGTGTCCATGGGCGGCGTGATTGCTTACCATCAGGTAATCCGTCGGCTCGTTTGCCGACCTTTACCATAAAACAGCAATTAATTTTTATATATCTATACTAATATTATAAAGAGTTATAATTTGCAAGTTTGTATGTAGGGGGTAATCTTTGGAACCGCTGATCGGATTGCCAAAAATTCTTTCATTGATAGATAGCTAAAATGTTCCTGAGTGCTATAGGCTATAAAACATCACGCTACGATCAAATGGAGCCGAGCAGCGGGTGACCGAGCGAGAGTAGGTAGTAATTTATTTTTTTATTTTTCTATTTTATGTAATAGATTGGCAAACGAGCAGACAGATTACCTGATGGTAAGCAATCAGCGCCGCCCATGGACACCCGTAACAACAGATGAGTCACGAGTGCGTTGCCAACCTTTTAGAGATTAGGGATTTGGAGATTTAGGGATTGAGGAGGGATTGGGGGTGGGGAAGGATTGGGCCTCCGGTAACCTCACTCACACGGCGAAACACAACGCTGTGGTTGTTTCACGCCAGTTTTCTGTGAGGCCGTGGTATCACTCAGGTCGAGCTGACCCATTCGTGCCGAAGCATGGCTCTCCCACACTTAAAGTAAGTAAGAAATATATTAATTGACCTTACCTTTACATACAAAAGCACTGGATTGAGTGCTTAATATTAGCTTGTCCCTCATGGCGGCCGGCTCTGAGCACCGAGCTATACCAGGCTCCACATACTCGCCGGCAGACTTCACCCATTCGGAGAGCCAGCGGGAATTGCAGTCACAGTATAAGGGATTCGAACCTAGAGCTCTGAAAAAAGAAATTGATATAGGATTTTGAATCTTAATTTAGGAGTCAGAGGTCATATGTTTGGTTAAAAATTTTGAAATTTAAAATTTGAATTTCTTTATTTTACTTATACATTAAAAAAAATAAGCTTCAGCAAGACCGGAGTGATACCACGGCCTAACAGAAGAGTAGCGTGATACAACCACAGCTTTGTTTCGCCGTGAGAGTGAGCTTAGTAAAGGCCCGAACCTTTCCCTCCCCCATCCTGAATCTCTTCCTCCCAAAATGCTAGTAACGTACTTGTAACTCCTCTGATGTTGATGTGTACGGGCGGCGCCGATTGCTTACCTTAAGGTCCGAACGTCGACCGCCATATTACAGAAAAAAATCGATGGAGCAGCGGGTATGTTAATAAATCTACATATATTAAAACTAGTATTTATAATAACTTTCTGTATATTTTAGCTGTGTTCTAGTTTTTTAGTTACTAGTTATTTATAATCATAAAATTGTTAATTAATGCTAGAAATAAAATATTACACTAAGCACAGGTTCAACCTAGTTCAGGCAAATTATACATAAAAACTTTTAGTATTTAGCAAATTGTTGTATAATTATGTACAAAATGAAGCAAATAAACGATTTATTATTATTATTATAATACATCGATCACTAATAATTCTTTATTAGTGATCGATGTTATAATATTATAAAATTTGTGGATTTTTTTTTAAGTTTGTATGTAGTGGGTAATCTTTGGAACAGCTGGTCGGGTTGCCAAAATTCTTTCACTGATAGATAGCTACAATGTTCCTGAGTGCTATAGGCTATAAATTATACTTGATTTGCGTATTTCAGTCGAGCTATCGCTTTGAACGCTGCTGTTTTTAAAATCCCGGTATACATTACTTTGGGAAGCTGCGGGTTGATGGTAGTTATCAATATCTTGGTAAACTTACACGTGGGATATAGATTCCAGGTCCCTGAAGACACCATCAGCTAGCATGGAGATGTTGTTCCCATGGAGTGACAGCACTCTGAGCTGAGTGAGACCTTTGAGGGCGTCGCGCTGGAAGCAAAAAAGAAGAGGGTCTAAACCTGGCAAGTACCAATGTGGCTTTTTCCGAATTATATGTACTTTCTATGATTATTTAGACACCACTGACATACGGTGAAGGAAACATCGTGAGGAAACCTGGACTTGTAATTTCTAATTATACTTAAGTTTGAAATTGCCAATCTGCCTTGAGCAAGCGTGGTGGTTAATGCTCAAAAATTATCCGAGTGAGACGAGGTCTGTGTTTAGCAGTGGGCACTTATAGGCTGATGATGATGATGATCGAATGTCACGAAATACCGTGTAAATAACATTTTTCTTTATAGCCAAGGATAATCAATAAGGTCGTCGTATTACATAGAAATCATAACATAAGTAATTAAATTTTAATTGCCTATAATTTAATTTTAATACAGAATAGATTCACAGCCGAGCGCTCATCGAGTCAACATCTCCTGAGGATGCCCTGTGGAGGGGCGAAACACGTGTCGAGTATAGGTTTGATTGCGTGACATGTTTTTCCATTTTTTGCACGTGTGCCTATGCAATGTTACGTTTGCTGCATGTGCATATGCATGTTTGCTTAGGAGTGGGAATGTATCCTGCAACAAGCCTGGATTTTTGTCGCGGAATTAAAACTAAATATTTTTCGTAACATTCAATGTCATGGATTTCCGCAAAGTAACGCCTGATTCTATAAATTAACAGAAACCTCATACTCTGGGATATAACAAAAATAAATCATCATCATCATCATCATCATCATCATCAGCCGGTAGACGTTCACTACTGAATAAAGGGCTTCCTCCACGTCGAACGACCAGTTGCCACCTGCATCCATTGGCTCCCCGCGACTCTGACGATGTCGTCGGTCCACCTAGAGGGAGGCCTGCCCACTACATTTTCCAGTCTTGGACCCAGGTATCCATATATTAGTGACCTAACTGCAATCCCCAAGGCCCCTGCCAAGCGTGGGGATTATGGATTATGGTACTCCCATTCATGATCAACGCAAGAATAAATGTGAGAGAACCAAGCTTCGGCACAAATGGTTTAGCTCGACCGGAGTCGCCTCAACGAAAACCGGTGTGAAACAACTACAGCCAACGCTGTAGTTTCGTCCAAGAGTGATCTTACCGAAGGACCAATCCCTCCCCAATTCTGAAAAATCCCAATAGTTCGGTAACGCACTAGTAACTTGATTGCTTACCATCACGTAATCTGGCTGACAGTTTGCCGACACAACAAATAAAAAAAATGTAGCAAATGCACTGAAAAGTCAACTTAATTTTGAAAGTAATAGAATACAAAATTACCTGTACACATCTCAGCTTGTTGTAACTGACAATTAAAGTTGACAATTTGGTTAATCCTTCAAATGTGTTGTTGGTGATGACACTGATCTTGTTGTTGGACAGGTCGAGGCGCGTCAGCTGGGTAAGATGGCGGATCTGGTCCGGTAATATAGTTGCTATGTCGTTCGATTCCAGGTAGCTGCAAAAAGAAACAAAAAATTTTTGTGAACAGTTGTTTATAAGTAGAGGAACTAGCTTTTGCTCGCGATTTTAACCTATCCCTCCCCCCCAATCTCTAAATCTCTAAAATCTTTATCACTTAACCGGCAACGAGTAAATCCTCTGGTGCTGCTTACCATCAGGTAGGTAGTCCGTCAGCTCGTTTGCCGACATATACCATAAAAAAACTGATCTGATATAAAACGACTCCGTTCGCGTGGAATAGTTCGATTCCCGGGCGGAACAACTCTTTGTGTGATCCAAAAATTATTGTTCCGGGTCTGGGTGTGATGTGTATGTGAAATTGTATGTTTGTAAACGCACACACGACACAGGAGAAAATCATAGTGTGGGGCAACGTTTTAAAAAAAAAGAAAAAAAAGAATAAAAAGAGAAAGAAAAACATTAATTTTTGCGCAAGCGCACACACAGAAAACACAAAAACAAAAAAAAAAAGAAGAAAATAAACTAACTATACTAATGATCTAAACTAACTAAAATAAAATAAATAAAACTCACTCGTCACGTCTTCCATGTCATTCCTCACAGAAATTAAGATCCAGAAATTATGGATGGATTGTCCATCCATAATTTCTTTGGTCTCCCTCTCCATGTCATGATTAACATCTAGATGGCTAGATTTCAATTAATAAACAAAAATCTGTCAGCCGGTTACTCACAGTTCGGTCGTCTGTTTCGGTATGTTCAGTGGTACCGAGGTCAGTTGTGCTCTGGAACATCGTACCACAGTTCCCGTGCAGGCACACGGAGCCGGACAATAGTCCGATGACAAACAGCCCTTATCTTCCGCTGAAAAAGAACATTCACGTTATCAAAAACTTTAAGAGACTAGTTAAAGAAAAAATATCATCATCATCATCAGCCTATAAGTGCCCACTGCTGAGCAAAGGCCTCTTCTCATACGGAGAAGGTTAGAGCATTAATCGCCACGCTTGCTCAATGCGGGTTGGTGATTTCAAACTTGTAATTAGAAATTATAAGTCCAGGTTTCCTCACGATGTTTACCTTCACCGTATGTCAGCGGTGTCTAAATAATCATAGAAAGTACATATAACTCGGAAAAGTCACATTGGTACTTGCCAGGTTTCGAACACCCTCATGCATGAGAAGCGGGCTCCTTAATCTCCGGGCCACCACGACTTATTTTATAATGCCAAATATAGGTAGACTATTTCTGTACTCAAACAATATTCATTATAAAATCAAACAATATCAAAGAAAAAATATAGAGAAAGAAATATATATTTTTTGACACTAAAAACAAAAAAAAAATATACTAGAAATGAGTTAGATTGATATAACAATAGGGCCTAATCCTTTCCTCCTCTATAGGGCTGATGTTCAGCCGGGGTTGCGGGGTAAGCGCAATGAGGCACCGCGACCTCGGCCCAGAGCAGGAGAAGGAACAGAGGGGTTTTTAGTCAATAAAAGTCTGACACTCCCTCCCGCCCGACTCTGGGCTGGAGAAGTCATTTGATGCTTTTCTCTTCACAAAAAAATGATCCTCTTAAACCTGTCTACTCAATCTCTAAATTTTCTTATCCCTAATGGCTGGCAACATACTTGTAACTTTTGCCTCTGGTTTTGCGGTAGTCAATGGATAGTGATGATTGCTTACCATCAGGTGAAAAAGTGGTCAAACATTCTTCAAAAAAAAAAACCATTGCTCTACTCTAGGATTTTCTACTGTGTCCTTCCAAACCTAGCTGGCTGCCGCGCAGCGTGTCACGGGTCCGTTTTCCGCATGGAACAATACTTTGTGTGATCCACAAATTGTTGTTTCGGTTCTGGGTGTGATGTGTATGTGAAATTGTATATTTGTAAACGCACCCACGACACAGGAGAAAACCCTAGGGTGGGGGCAACGTTTTTGAATGATGATTTTTTCACTCTGAAATTGTAATTGTAGGTAGAAAACCTTGCTTGTTGGTTTTCAGGGCAATTTCAAATCTACAACGTTAGTGATATCCTTCAATGGCTGAAAACGGACTAATGTTTATAATAAATTAACTCACCGGTGCACTTAAAATCAGAAACTTCTAAATGATGCAAGTTGGCGTCTCTCAACGCAGCTGGTGAACGGCAGGTGGCTGATGGAGACAGTCGACGGCTGCGAAGCCAGTTGGGCAGCCAAGATATGTGGCAGGTGCAGTCCAGGGGATTTGATTCCAGATTTCTGTTGGAAAAGACCAAAAGACTAGTAGACCAAGTAGACCGAGTAGACCAAGAAGACTGAACATAGTATTAATTAAGTGACCATTAGTGCAACGATTTTTGAAGACTTTCGTCGATTAGTCGTATGAATTTTCAAGGTTTTCCAGTTTAGTATTAGGATTAGGATGACTACAAGAATTTTTTTTTATATGTTATTCTCAGTATTAGTCAGTGTATATAGTAAATTTTTTGTTGTTTCTTTTGATGAAGTTCTCGCCGATTGTTCTTCATAGAAAAGTAGCTTCAATAAAATAATAATATTTCCAATGATACTATCCGCTGGATAAAGTGATAATAATAAAAATTATAACTTACAAAGTGGACAACAATGTGAGATGATCGAAGGCCCCTGGAGTGATGCATTTGATTTTATTATCCGTGAGCGACCTGCGAATACAAATAACATATCAATGTAAGAAAAGAGAAAGAAGATAATAAAGTATGGGTGTCTTGCTCACACCGCATATAACAGAAACTATAGCGTTGTGTTTCGCTCTGTAAGTGAGGTTATCGGAGGTCCAATCCCCTCCCCAATTCTAACATCTTTAAAAGACCAGCAACGCACTTGGAATTCCCCCGGTGTAGCGAATGTCTGTGATTGCTTACCATCAGATAATCAGACTGACAGATCACAGATCAGAATCGCATCAAAAAAGTATACATAATTTAGGGCTGACTTTTCAATGGTTAGATAAAAGTTACCTGGGGAATAATTATGATGCTGTCGCGTCACAATGTTTGTATAAGACAGTGACAGCAACAATTTTATACCTCAGATAGGTAACATTTATCTGACTATTGAAAAATAAGCCCTTAGAAAGATACTACTTATCATAAACTCGAATGTCATAAAATATGGCTCGAAAGTAATGGCGTCTCTTCTCTTATGCATGAGATTCAAAACTGGCAAGTACCAATGTGACTTTTACCAAGTTAAATGTACTTTCTTTGATTATTTAGACACCACTTTGACATACGGTGAAGGAAAACATCGTGAGGAAATCTGGACTTATCTATAAAATTTGTAAGTTTGTATGTAGGGGGTAATCTTTGGAACCACTCGTCAGATTCCCATAATTCTTTCATTCGTTGATAACTATAATGTTTCCGAGTGCATTAGGCGATAAAACATCATGCTACAATCAAATGGAGCCGAACAGCGGGTGAGACTGCGCGGGAGTAGCTATAGTTTCTAATTATAAGTTTGAAATCGCCAATCAGCCTTGAGCTAGCGTGGTGGTTAATGCTGAAACCTTCTCCGTTTGAGAAGAGGCCTTTACTCAGCAGTGGGCACTTATAGGCTGATGATGATGATGATGACGAGGATCTAGAAGATTTATACTTACAAAACGCTCAAACTATGCAATCCAAAGAACATCTTATCCGTGACCGTTTGCAGAAGATTTCCATCTAGCAACAGCTCCTGGATGTTAGCTGCACCATCGAATGCATTATCTTCTATCACAGTTATGCCTGTAAAGAAGAATGTAGTTGTAGTAAAGAAGAATTAGAGACAAGATAAGTGTGAGAGAGTCATGTTTCAGGTTCAAAGGGAGTGATTCCACGGCTTCAAAGAAAATCGTGAACCAACGCTTGCGGTCTGTTTCGGTGTGTGAGTGTTTACCTATTTCAACCGGAGTGATACCACGGCTTAAAAGAAAATCGAACGCTTGCGTTCTGTTTAGCTGTGTGAGTGTTTACCTATTTCAACCGGAGTGATACCACGGCTCCAAAGAAAATCGTGAACCAACGCTTGCGTTCTGTTTAGCTGTGTGAGTGTTTACCTATTTCAACCGGAGTGATACCACGGCTTAAAAGAAAATCGAACGCTTGCGTTCTGTTTCGCTGTGTGAGTGTTTACCTATTTCAACCGGAGTGATACCACGGCTCCAAAGAAAATCGTGAACCAACGCTTGCGTTCTGTTTAGCTGTGTGAGTGTTTACCTATTTCAACCGGAGTGATACCACGGCTTAAAAGAAAATCGAACGCTTGCGTTCTGTTTCGCTGTGTGAGTGTTTACCTATTTCTACCGGAGTGATACCACGGCTTAAAAGAAAATCGAACGCTTGCGTTCTGTTTAGCTGTGTGAGTGTTTACCTATTTCAACCGGAGTGATACCACGGCTTAAAAGAAAATCGTGAACCAACGCTTGCGTTCTGTTTAGCTGTGTGAGTGTTTACCTATTTCAACCGGAGTGATACCACGGCTTAAAAGAAAATCGAACGCTTGCGTTCTGTTTAGCTGTGTGAGTGTTTACCTATTTCTACCGGAGTGATACCACGGCTTCAAAGAAAAGCGTGAACCAACGCTTGCGTTCTGTTTCGCTGTGTGAGTGTTTACCTATTTCAACCGGAGTGATACCACGGCTTAAAAGAAAATCGTGAACCAACGCTTGCGTTCTGTTTAGCTGTGTGAGTGTTTACCTATTTCAACCGGAGTGATACCACGGCTTAAAAGAAAATCGAACGCTTGCGTTCTGTTTAGCTGTGTGAGTGTTTACCTATTTCTACCGGAGTGATACCACGGCTTAAAAGAAAATCGAACGCTTGCGTTCTGTTTAGCTGTGTGAGTGTTTACCTATTTCTACCGGAGTGATACCACGGCTTCAAAGAAAAGCGTGAACCAACGCTTGCGTTCTGTTTCGCTGTGTGAGTGTTTACCTATTTCTACCGGAGTGATACCACGGCTTAAAAGAAAATCGAACGCTTGCGTTCTGTTTAGCTGTGTGAGTGTTTACCTATTTCAACCGGAGTGATACCACGACTTAAAAGAAAATCGTGAACCAACGCTTGCGTTCTGTTTCGCTGTGTGAGTGAGGTTACTGAAAGTCTGATCTCCTTCATTCACCACTTATTTCCAAACACCTCACGCAATCCTTATTCATCAAATGGCTTCCCCCGCCCAGGGCAAGGCGAGAGAGTGTGTCAGACTCTCACTAAATAAAAACCCCCCGTTCGTTCTCCTACTTTAGGCCGAAGCCGCGGTGACTCATTGCGCTTACCCCGCAACCCCGGCTGAACATCAGCCCTATAGGCCCCCGTCTGTGGTAGTCTACTGGCTCATCGTACCCTAAGGACTTCACGCAATCCTCAAAGCTGTAATCCCCAAAAGCCTATTATCATACTTATGATGCCACTAGTGTTGCAGGTGCCTGGAGTTTGTGCCAATTGCTTACAATCAGGGGATCCATCCACTCCTTTAACTGCCACATAAAATGTCGATTCTCCCCATCATCATGCCCTAAATCCTCAAATCCCTAAAGAGCCAGCAACTTATTTGTAACTCCTCCGGTGTTACGGGTCCATAAGGAGCCGATTGCTTACCATCAGATGTCTAGTCTGCTCGTTTGAAGACCGAAAGAAAAAGAAAGATGGAGAAGACAGATAGAATTGTACCCTTGCTTATCATTTATGCTCCTACTCACCGTTATTACGAAGGTCCAGCTTGGTTAGGTCTGGCAGTCTTCCGAACAGACCGTCAGACTTGATCTGACCCAAACTGTTGTCTGACATCAACCTGTAATGAACATACAAATTAAAACTAACGAATAATTTAAAATATTAATAATTATAAAAATAATTAAAAGCTTTCCTTAGGTACCATAGTTCGTGGTTCAGGGGTTCCCAAATTTTTTGCGACAGCCTATTAAAGTTAATAATAATAAAGAGGGACTTTTTTTATTTAAATCTTGTTCGACGGGGGAAATTACAATATAGAATGCCATTTTTAACTCGCAAGTGTAGCGCTAGTGTACTACTACTCACGGCGGATTCAGATTCGAAGTTTACAATGAAGTCTTACAGAATCACACTCGGATCACTCACGGATCTGAATGTTATTTGGCACAGAGATAGATTATAGTCTGGAATAACATACACTTTTTCGCCTATTCTGTAATAATGTATATAGATATGGTACTTACAGCGCATCAGTATTGACAGGCAGGTCGCGCGGCACCTCAGTGAGCGCTGCGCGTGCGCAGACGACGCTGACAGCGCGCGCGCCGTACTCACACGCACACGCGGCCGGACACGCCGCCGCCGACCCACACGCATTCGCTGACTCTTCACCCGCTGGGGACATCAAATGATGCATATTTAAACTAATATTATAAAGAGGATAATTTTAAACCCTCCCTCCCCCAATTTCTAAATCTCTAAAATCTTTATCACTAAGCCGGCAACGAGTAAATCTTCTGGTGCTGCTTACCATCAGGTAGGTAGTCCGTCTGCTCATTTGCCGACATCTATACTAATATTATAAAGAGGTAAAATTTGTAAGTTGGTATGTTTGTATGTAGGGGGTAATCTTTGGAACCGCTGGTCGGATTTCCAAAATTCTTACACTGATAGATAGCTACAATGTTTCCGAGTGCTATAGGTTATAAAACATCACGCTACGATCAAATGGAGCTGAGCAGCGGGTGAAACCGCGCGGCAGTAGCTAGTATACCATAAAAAAAACTTATCTGATATAAAATTAAAGTAACTGCGCGGTTGGCTCAGTGACTGGACACTTTGTGTGATCCACTAATTGTTGTTCCGGGTCTGGGTGTGATGTTTATGTGAAATTGTATGTTTGTAAACGCACCCACGACACAGGAGAAAATCCTAGTGTGGGGCAAAGTTTATTATAAAAAAAATTGCGTATTTTAGTCGAACTAAACTATCGCTTTAAATGCTGCTGTTTTTAAAATACATTACTTTTAAACTAATATTATAAATGCGAAAGTAACTCTGTCTGTCTGTCTGTCTTTTCTTCACTCTTAAACTACTGAACCGATTTCTGTGATATTTGGTACAGACATAGTTTGAAACTCGAGAAAGGACATAGGATAGTTTAATAACCAAAAATCTGCAGGAAATGCAAACTAATTCGCGGGCAAAAGCTAGTTTACTAACAAAACAAGTTAACAAAGTAAAGAAGGTTACAAGTACACGACAATTTCATTGAAAAATACACTCTATAACCATCAAAATAAGACTTACGTTTGCACTTAAAGTTCTCTTCTCTTAAGGCGTCGATTCTTTTTCTGCTCATCCGCTTAGGAGAGTCACATTTAGCTCCAGAAGTCTCAATAGGGTTCTTCCTCAAATAAGCAGCGAGCCATCGTAAGGAGCAGTCACAGGCGAAAGGATTCCGACCTAAATGTCTGTGGAATAAAATTGGTTTTACAATAAAAAGAAGTGTTATATAGGATGCTTGAATTTTTTTTAAATTCAGGGCTGATTTTTCTGTGGTTAGATAAAAGTTACCTGGGGAATAATTATGATGCTGTCGCGTCAGAATGTTTGTATAAGACAGTAACAGCAACAATTTAATTCCTCAGATAACATTTATGACTGTTGAAAAATCAGCCTTTAGTTTTAAAATTTATAGGAATCCACTTGGTTGCCTCATAAATATAACTGTTTAGCAAGGTTCGATTACTAAGCTAGGCAAAGAACATTTTTAATTGAAACTCTTAATAGTAGTAGTAGTTTAGGTAATAAACTCAATAGTAAACAATCTTGGCATATCTCTTTTTTATAAAAGTTATCAAAAAATTGTATGTAAAGATGTCTACAATCAGCTATATTATTATATATTATTTACCTAAATCGATGTTAGCTAATAAACTGAATTTAAATCAAAATTCAAATCAAATCAATCGAAATTATTCGTGTCTGGGACGCATAAAAGACACAAAACGAACAAGATAATAAAAATAAAGGTAAAAATAAAAATTACATTAAGCAAGGTAAAAACAATATCACAAAAGTAGAGGGTAGGAGAAAATATGCGTCCAAGCACGCGAAATGGCCCTCGCTCAGCATTATGCAGCGACCCCATACGAGACAGTGTCGCGGCGTTGATTTTCAGCGATCATCATCAGCCTGTTGTCGTCCACTGCTGGACATAGGCCTCCCCAATTGCACGCCACTGAGCTCGATGTTCAGCTCTTCTCATCCAACCACTGCCAGCCACCCTGCGGATGTCGTCAGTCCACCTAGCTGGAGGGCGCCCTACACTACGATTTTCAGCGATGGCCGATAAATAGTCTTTGTATGTACTTTATACGAGCTCTTTAATATAAAAAGACATACCAACATTGTTTACCTTTAGTTAACCACCTTATCAGATAGACCAAAAAACAGGATGACTTAAAAGTAAAAAAAATAGCATCCTAAATGTTTTCTATTGAAATAGTAAATATAACTTACAGAGTTTGAATCCCGGTTAAGGCATCGAATGTTCCATTCGGTAGCGACCTTATGTTGTTATCGTATAGAGATCTGGAAAAAAAATAAAAATATTTTAGAAAATTTCACTATGGATGTCAGAATTTTCATTGTATTTTTTTATATTATTTAATAGGTCGGCAAACGAGCAGGCGGATTACCTGATGGTAAGCAATCAGCACCGCCGTTTGCCGTGTTTGCCGTTTATTAAAAATCTATAATAGATGCAAAACTTACAGTAATTTCAGGTTCTGTAAATCTCTGAAAGTGTCCTTTCTGACGCATGTAATCTCGTTTGAATTGAGTAACCTGAAAAAAAAAACAAAATATATATAAAAACGTTGCCCCACACTAGGATTTTCTCCTGTGTCGTGGGTGCGTTTACAAACATACAATTTTCACATACACATCACACCCAGACCCGGAACAACAATTTGTTGATCACACAAAGAGTTGTTCCGTGCGGGAATCGGACCCGCGACACGTTGTGCAGCACCCAGTTTGCCAGCTACTGCGCCAACTGTACAGTCATAAGCTGCATGACGTCACTCTAATTATATAAAAAATTCATCAAAGTGTTTAGTCCCGGGTATTTATTGATAAAGATCTGGGTTTAAACTTCATACCGCGTTTGTCAAGCAAATATCGTCACTACGTAGTATAAAACGAAGTCGCTTTCTCTGTCCCTATATTCCTATGTACGCTTAAATCTTTATTTAATAAATAAATAATTATTATTTTAACACTTTATGTACATACAAAAAAAATATATATATACAAAGGCAGACTTAATGCCCGAAGGCATTCTCTACCAGTCAACCTCACGGGTGATGCAGAGAAGTGTTAATAATAGGTTCTAAACAAGCACACAATGATTAAAAAGTACAGGCATGTAAGGCAACATTTACATATAATACAAAAACATAATATATGAATACAATAAATATAACTTTAAAACTACGCAACGGACATTGATGCGGTTTTTTTATAGATAGAGTGATTGAAGAGGAAGGTTTATATGTATAATAATATCAATTAAATAGTGGAGAAATTTAGTATCAGCATTACAACTATACGAAGCCAGGGCGGGTTGTTAAAAAAAATATAAACGTCAAACATAATATGGATAAGCTACTTATACTTACAGTAATTGTAGAGAAGAGAGTCCATGAAATATTCCAGAAGGCAGATCTTTTATTTTATTTCCGTATAAGACTCTGAAAAAATACGAAAAATAAATATAAATAAATATGGTCGGAAAACATTTAACTTTTTTTTTCACGCCTGGTGGTAAGCCATGATGCGACCTACGATGGAGCACGCCTACCCATAAGCAACCTATTCACTCGGACCTTGAAGACTAACACCTGGTTTCTGAAAGGCTTGTCAACGCTAAAATTAACTAATCTCCTGTTAAATCTCTTGTAAAGTCATCTGATTGGTTGTTGATAATTCAGTCAACCAATCAGATGACTTGACAAGAGATTAAAATGATTTTAACATTGATCGGCCTTTCGGAAACCGGGGGTAATACAACTAAAACAGGTCCTTTTGAAACGTCAAAATCGAATATTAGTCCGTCAGTTTGGTCTTCAGTAGAGCTATGTGCTAAGATAAGCGAGCGAAAAATATAATGATAGCCCAGAGCTTAAGACGGATTCGAAACCTGGCTTGTACCAATGTGACTAGTTCCGAGTTATATGTACTTTCTATAATTATTTAGACACCACTGACATACGGTGAAGGTAAACATCGTGAGGATAGCTGGACTTATAATTTCTAATTATAAGTTTGAAATCGCCAATCCACCTTGAGCAAGCGTGGTGGTTAATGTTCAAACCTTCTCCGTGTGAGAAGAGTCCTTTGCTCAACAGTGGGCACTTATAGGCTGATGATGAAATTGTAAAGTTGTTTGTTGAAAAGTAAAGTAAGGGCTGATTTTTCAAAGGTTAGATAAAAGTTACCTGGGGAATAATTATGATGCTGTCGCGTCACAATGTTTGTATAAGACAGTGACAGCAACAATTTTATTCCTCGGATAACATTTATCTGACTATTGAAAAATCAGCCTTTAGTACACTAGTAAAAGGAGTTAACAAAGTCAATATTACCGTATGAATCTATGCGATTCATATAAAAATGAATCGCAAAATATGTTGCTAAGCGCATAACACAAAAACGTGAGCACCAATTATGCCTATTCTCATTTTGTTGAGTTTATTATTGTCAGGAGAAGGTTTTTGTGAAAAGTCATCATCATCAGCCTGTTGTCGTCCACTGCTGGACATAGGCCTCCCCAATTGCACGCCACTGAGCTCGATGTTCAGCTTTTCTCATCGAACCACTGCCAGCCACCCTGCGGATGTCGTCAGTCAACCTAGCTGGAGGGCGCCCTACACTACGTTTGCCTAGACTTAAATAGTGAAAAGTAGAGCGGGGAATACGGGAAATCGCAACCGGTTGCAAGCAGGGGCGAGCGGCTAGTTCTCGATATAAAATTTTCTCAAAACAAAGTGTGTTTCTATGAACGCATCCATTGTTGGTTTCTACGTAATATTACTACGAAGACAATGCTTTGTTTATCTGTCTGATCGTAAACGTGATGTTCAATAAGTGTGGGAGAGCCATGCTTCGGCACGAATGGGTCAGCTCAACCGGAGTGATACCACGGCCTCACAGAAAACCGGCGTGAAACAACCACAGCGTTGTGTTTCGCCGTGTCCTTCCCTCCCCAATCTTTACATGTCCAAAATCCTAATTGCCGAATGCTCTCGTGTCTCCTGTGGTGTTGCGAGTATCCAAGGGCTGCATGGATTGCTTACCATCAGGTTATCCGTCTACTTGTTTGCCGACTTATGACAACAAAAAATATTGGTTTTACAAAGACTTTGTGCTTAGGTTAGGTATTCTCGTTGGAAGAATTGTCAAAGTATTACTTATGACGGCTAAAAAAATGGAATCAGGTTTTAATCGAGTAGAAAAAATACCTGATGTTAAGCAAGGATTCGTCAATAGATACCCGAAAAACTAAGATTGCAAGCGCATTGCTCCTCCTTTGTAAGGTAATTTTTGACTTTTGACTTTTGACATACAGTAGGACAGGCCTTATCACGGACTCGCTGATTGCTTACCATCAGGTTTACATTAAGCAGGGTTTTTCGATTATTTGATTGCGCAACATGCTCCTTAGTCCTTATACATCTGCTCAAACAAGCTATTGTGTAAAAATTACTTACAATGAAGTTAGGTGCACAAGTCCGGTGAACGCGTCTGCGGCTAACTTCGTGATCTTATTATTTGACAGGTCTATTCGCGCCACTCGCTTCACTGACGCGAAAGCGCCGGCGCCAACTTCTGTTATCTCGTTCTGTTCTAGCCGGCTGAAAAGAGATGGATATATTGGTTATTGAACATGGCGGAGCACAGAAAAAAATACTTTTATCCAAATGTCAAAAACGATACTTCTTTATGAAATTTTTATGAAACTAAAATTATGACGTAGACATAGTATTCTAGCGTCAAATAGCTTACTTATTTCTTAAAAATTAGCTAAAAAATATCGATAATTTATTGTATCGATAGATCGATGACTAAAAGTATAGTTATCTTAATAATATTATAAATGGGAAAATTAAGATGTTTTGATGTTTGTTACTCAATTACACCAAAACAGCCGGACGGATCTGAATGAAATTTGGCACAGGCATAGATATACTTCGCAATAGGACATAGGCTATAGTTTTTATCAACATACCACAAGGGCTAAGCCGCGTGCGAAAGCTAGTTTTTCAGTATATTATTGTATTGAAACGTCGAATTAATTTATGTTTGACCTAAGAAACTACCCAATTACTTACATTTCCGTAGCCCTATGAGGAATGGTGGATGGTAGTTCGGAGAGCAGCTTCTCCCTGCAGTCCACTGTGCCTTCAGGAGTGCAGCGGCACGGAGGAGGACAACGAGGTTCTGCTGAACATTCTACCGTCGTCGTTGTGGTTGGACCTGGAGGATAGAGGGAAAAGATTATAATCCCATCAACGAAGGTCGACTTGGTAGAGAGAGTGAACAATTAAACACTAAAATACTAATAAAGGGCGTATAATAAAGTATTCCACAATGCTTGTCGACGTGAGGCATAATATTGGAGATAGGCAGACATGTCATGCTCACTCCTACTTAATATCTTTTTTTTTTATGTAATAGGTCGGCAAACGAGCAGACGGATTATCTGATGGTAAGCAATCAGCGCCGCCCATGGACACTCGCAACGGAGGAGGTACGAGTGCGTTGCCGACCTTTTAGGGATTAGGGATTTGGAGATTTAGGGATTGAGGAGGGATTGGGGAAGGGGAAGTATTGGGCCTCCGGTAACCTCACTCACACGGCGAAACACAACGCAGTGGTTATTTCACGCCGGTTTTCTGTGAGGCCGTGGTATCACTCCGGTCGAGCCGACCCATTCGTGCCGAAGCATGGCTCTCCCACTCTTGCACGGGAGTGCAAGTGCAAATATCTTTCATGCATATGTATTATTTTAATTCTGTATGTATACACATGTTTAAGCAAATAAAATTTCTATTCTATCGGGACTTTCATACTGAATATTTCACAATCCACATACGATATTGTTGATTGGGTATTTTTGGTTTCTATTCCGCATCTTCAAAGCATGGAGGATTAGGTGTCGCATTGAAAAGAGACTGACCTCTGAGTTTGTTTCGGCATTTCTTCTCAGAGTAGTCAGATAGGAAATGCCGGCTTCATCTAGTTTTTCACATATAATTTGACTTGTAAAAGTGCCGTTTTATGGCCTATCTATTTGCAAAAATAAATTTATTGTTTCATTGTTTCATAAAGTAATATTAGTGTAATTAGGTATTGAATATAGATTAGGATTAGGTAGAAGAGGTACCTAAGTATCGATTTTGCCTAATTCGACTTAAGTCTAATAGGGATGGGGAGAGATATATCATCGCATCAGCGTTTAATTTGAACTAATTCACACTGAAAATTAAAGCGCGTGTAATTAAGAATTACACAATGTGTAGTGCTCACACAAAAACAATCAAATTCTCAGCACACATGCTATCTCCAGTAACGAAACCATAGCGCGATCTATCTCGATCCCAACGCCATCTATCGAGCCGACGTGCAAACTTTTACGTCTTTTATTCATTAAGCTTATTTTCTTTTTAAGTTTCTCTGTATAGATATTATTATTACACTGTTCTCACATAATCGAACCATCTAAATAATGTACCAAAGAATCTGTATGTGACACTGATTTGAAAAGAGTAACCATGGAGTTTCTTGCTCGTTCTTCTCCATAGGAATGTACACTTTGGAACGAGCAAATAGCTTCACTGGAGGACTGACTGACACTTCATTTTTGTTACTAGCCTATAATGTTCCACTGCTGGGCAAAGGCCTCCCCATCTCGCTTCCACACCTCCCGATCCTTCGACCATGTCCACCAGTCTCGAGGATAAGCCTATCTAGATCGTCACGCCTTCTTTTCCAGGGCCTACCTACTGGTGTCCACTGGGTGACAGTAGTGGCCCATCTCTCCAGATGCGTTCGGCTGACATGTGCGACCTAGTTCCATTTTAATTATTCCACCATTTTGTTATTTAACGTTCAAAAGTGCCCTAATCAAAAAAGGTTTTGACTTTTGGCTTTTTTATGCACGCGACTAAGCTCTCTTGATTACTCAAAAATGGTTTATAATCAACATCATGGTTCTTACCGCTGCAAATCAGCTCATGAGGTTCCAGTTCGGTGAGGAGTGCCCCCCTCAAAGCAGCTGGAGCCTGGCATCTGGAAATACATAGATTTCGTTATAAAGCTTTCTTTTTTTTTAAAACGTTGCTAGTAACTAGGTTTTTCTCCTGTGTCGTGGGTGCGGTAACAAACATACAAATTCACATGCACATCACATCCAGACCCGGAACAACAATCTGTGGGATCACACAAAGAATTCTTCCGTGCGAGAATCGAACCCGCAACACGTTGCGCGCCAGTCGCTAGCCACCGCGCCAACCGTGCAGTCAGTGCATCATAAATGGTCTTTTTGATTTTATATTTTAAAATGTCTTTAAGACAGCGCTCTTATGACACCTCTGGTGTTGCAGGTATACTTATGGTTTCGTGTATTATTTTTATTTGAAACTAGCTTTTGCACGCGTCTCCGTTCGCATGGAATTGTGACTTCCTGCAGATATTTGCTATAAAAACTATCCTATGTCCTTTCTCGAGTTCCAAACTATGTCTGTACCAAATTTCACAGAAATCGGTTCAGTAGTTTAGGCGTGAAGAAAAGACAGACAGACAGACAGAGTTACTTTCGCATTTATAATATTAAGTTTGGATTTACATACATTTGCATGAAACTCCAAATTATGGAGTCATAGTAAATGTAAGTAGGTAGCGTCAAATAACTTACTAATTTCTTAAAAATTAGCTAAAAATAAAACGAAAATTTTGTGTATAGACAGACTGATGAATAAAAGTATAGTTATTTATCAACATCTTATTGAACTGTAACGTGAATCGCGGCATAGGGCGCGTTGGGCGCGCAGACTCGCGAGTAGCCAGTAGCAGCGCGACAGTCGCCGAGTCGCGTGTCGCGGAATGCTGCTCATGAATATGGGCCTCTAGCATGGCTTGAAACTAGTCGAGTATCTCGTCAAATTATTACGTGAGTAAGCCGAAAACATAATAAATAATTTAGAATTGATTCATTTTTAACATAGGAAACTTTCCAATTTGTGGATGACACAAACAGTAGTTCCGTGAGGGAATCGAAGCCGCGGCAGGCAGTTGCCCAGCCACCAGATTCAGACCGCTAGCTTATTTTCTTACATACCTGGCACCCACTCCTAGGATTCCAGCTGCGCGAACTGTAGTCGCCAGCCTGGCGACTCTACAGTCGCATACGACAGGATTGTCGGTCAGTCGCAACGTGTTCAAGCGACTAATCGCAACTGGCTCCAATGAGAGGTACGTCAAGTTGTTATTGTTAAGTGTCCTGTAATTAAAATAGAATTAATTAATTTATTATTTTACAATGTGATATAATATGAAGGTCCTGAGTTTAAGCAGAAACCTTGCAAGTACCAATGTGACTTTTTCCGACTTGACATTGAAAAGAGACTGACCTTATATGTACTTTCTATGATTATTTTGATACCACTTTTTTGTGTAGGTAGGTAATATATAGGTCGACAAATTAGCAAATGGATTACCTGATGGTAAGCAATCGTCGCCGCTCATGAAGGAAAAGAAAGAAAGAAATAAAGAAAAATATTTTATTTCACGCTAAAAAACAACAATGTCTCCATATTAAAAGAGCTTCGCATCAAACGAAGACTTTCTTCGATTGTGCAAGCAAGAACTCTTAAAATGTTTGGCCATATCATTCGAAGCGAAGACTCAATGGAATGATTGGTGGTGCAAGGTAGAATAGAGGGTCAGTGTCCTCGTGGTCGGTCACCAGCTAGATGGACAAACATTTTAAAATCAGTGACATCCAGCTCAATTGTGGAGTGCGCGAGGAAGGCCACTAACAGGAAAAAGTGGAGAGAAATCGCAAAGGCAGCCACCAAGGACATTACATGACCACGACCGCTCTGACAAGAGTGTACGACTGAAACGAACGAAAAAACAAGTGACATGTGCATACAGATAATTAAGATATTCTGTTTGGAAATATTAATGGATAAATGTTCATGTCCCAAGTCTCCCGTGAAATGGGACCAGTTCAGCATGTGCAAGACAGGGCCTTGAGCTGGTATTCTACTGGCCCCTTGAGTGACTCGCGGACAAACCAGTCACCAATAGCCTTTAGGGATTAGGATTTTGGAGATTTAATGATTAGGAAGGAATGGAACAGGAAAAAGATTGGGCTCCGGTAGCCTAACTCACACGGAAGAGATATGGATGGGGCGAGAGGTTAAATAACCGCAACCCTTATCCCCAAAAGGAAGGCAACGCACTCCTAACTCCTTTGGTGTTGTGGGTGTCCATGGGCGGCGCCAATTTTTTTTTATGTAGTAGGTCTGTAAAGGAGTACGGATTACCTGATGGTAAGCAATCAGCGCCGCCCATGGACATCCAACGGCAACAGAGGAGTTACGAGTGCATTGCCGACCGTTTAGGGATTAGGAATTTGGAGATTTGACCAATTGCTTACCATCAGGTAATCCGTCTGCTCGTTTGCCGACTTATTCCATAAAAAACAGCTGTAACCCAACACCCCTATACATACATACAATTAAAGAAAATTAATTTATATTTGAACTGTCAATTGGGTCGTACTATTTAAAGCGAGGTCAAATCAATAATGTGGAAGGTCATAGAGGTCAATTGATCAGTCTTTATCGACTGGTGTAGTCTTGTTAAGCCGTGTGATGACGGCTGACGACGTTACCTTCTTGGCTCTTCTTGCGGGTGGTATAATAGCTGACTAAGGAACTATGGTTTAGGGTTAAGGTATGCTTAAGTGGTGGGTAAAAATAACCATGTACCGTGGCCCAGCATTGTGATTCTGTAAGACTTCATCCTAAACTTCGAATCTGAATCCGCTGTGAGTAGTAGTACACTAGCGCTACGCTTGCGAGTTGAACTAAATTGACCGCAACATTTTGATAGATAAAGTATGAGATGACGTTCAAAGTGGCATTGTTTAATGTAATTTCCCCGCCACATCGCACTCGAACAAGATTCAAAATCAAATAGAATCGACGTGCAGCTCCGAGAAGGAAAAGGAAAGGGATTTTTAGATAGTAAGAGTCTGAAACTCTTTCTCAGTCCACTCAGGACTCAAAAACACTGGTACATATAAGACAGAGACCTGATATTAGCTCTTTGATAATCCCGAACCTTTTACACTGAGATCACCAACCCGCCTGTCTGCGGAGATTCTGGCAAACCCCTCTTATGTAGAGGAGGCCAATACTCCAAGAGAGGACTCTCATGTTAAGCCATCATAATAATCTAAGTTTCCACTGCTAAGTAAAGACCTTTTCTAACTAGGAGGAATGTTTGACTATTAACAACCACGCTAACTCAAGGCAAAGTCAAAGTCAAAATCATTTATTTCAATTAGACCACCCACAAAGTGCCTACCACTTTTAAACGTCAAGCAAAAGAAATAGGAAGCAAGTATTTCAAGAGCTTTAACTTTAAGTGTTTCAGTCTGTCTGTCTGTCCTCCAGTAAAGCGAAGTGTAGATTCCTATGGAGAAGAACGAGCAACAAACTCCAGGGCTTTTTTCAATCAGTTTTACAATACATTTCTTTGTTTCGTTACAGGCGATTTTAAGCTTATAAGTCCAGGTTTCCTCACGATGTTTACCTTCACCGTATGTCAGTGGTGTCTAAATAATCATAGAAAGTACATATAACTCGGAAAGTCACATTGGTACTTGCCAGGTTTCAAACCCGCGCCCTCATGTATGACACTTGTATGGTTTACTTGGAAACAATAATTTTGACTTTGACTTTAAAATGCTCTTGTACCTCCTCTGATGTGGATGCGGAAAATCCATAAGCGGCACTAATTGCTTACCATCAGCAACTCTGCCCGAATATCCTAAAAAAAGTCAAAGTCAAAATCATTTATTCCAACTAAACCACACACACACACACACACACACACACACACACACACACACACACACACTTACAGTGTAGATTAAGTGATTCATAATAAAAAAAAAAAAAAAAAAAAATCAAACATAAATATATATAACTTACTTGCCTATATAACCTTAGTCTTAGTCAACAAAAATAAGTAAAATAGCCGATAAGAGCTTCCTCTCTCCTATCCCACTTACTTTGCTGTGCCCGACAGGGTCCATATGAACTATTTATAAGTACTACCACCTAAGAATACATGTGGAAAGCAATAAAGTATTGAGTATTGAGTAAACCATAAATAGGTACTTTTGAAACGTCAAAATAAAGTAGTCTGTCAGTCTGTTCGTCAGTGAAGTTAGGTGCTCGTTCCAAATTGTAGTTTCGAATGGAGAAGAACGAGCAAGAAACTCCATCGTTACTCCTTTTTTTTTTAAAAAAAGTCAAACTCAAAAACATTTATTCCAACTAAACCATAAATAGTTACTTTTGAAACGTCAAAATAAAGTAGTCTGTCAGTCTATTCGTCTGTGAAGCTACATAGGTGCTCGTTCCAAATTTTAGATTCGAATGTTTTGTTTTTGTTTTTATAAAAACGTTGCCCTACACTAGGATTTTCTCCTGTGTCGTGGGTGCGTTAACAAACATACAATTTCATATACACATCACACCCAGACCCGGAACAACAATCTGTGGATCACACAAAGAGTTGTTCCGTGCGGGAATCGAACCCGCAACAGTTGCGCAGCCACCGCGCCAACCGCGCAGTCTAATGGAAAGGAGAAGAACGAGCAAGAAACTCCATTGTTACTCTTTTTTTCTTATATAAAAATATGAAGGTGATTAATGAAATTAGTTATACTCACAGCACTTCCAAGCTCTTCAGGTTTTCGAAGGCCTTCTCGTCAATGCATTTGAGATGGTTTCCATCTATGTGGAGACTCTTCAGCGCCGTCAGACCTCTAAAAGTCCGTCGGCTTATGGCAGTCAGCTCATTGCGACTCAAATCCCTAGAATACGAATGAAAATGTCAAAGAAATATCTCAAAATACACGTGTAGAGATTAGTCGTTTATTGTAATGTGGATTATGTGTTTTTTCTGGTCTCCAGGTAGCGTTAAAACAGACGGGGTTGGGGGTGCTAGCGTGATAATCTACCTGGGCCCCGTCCCGGAGCAGGAGAAGGAAAGGGGGTTTTTATTCAGTAAGAGCCTGACACTCTCTCGCCTTACCCTGGGCGGGAGAAGTCATTTGATGAATCAACACTCAAAAAAAGGAAGCGTTAAATTTTTATTCGTTATATTTTGTTTAGGACTGACTTTTCAATAGTAACATAAATGTTATTCGAGGAATAAAATTGTTGCTGTCACTGTCTTATACAAACATTGTGACGCGACAGGATCATAATTGGGTAGTTTTCTAGGTCAAAAATAAATTAATTCGACGTTTCAATACAATAAAATATTGAAAAATAACTATATGTACTTTTATTCATCGATCTGTCGATACACAAAATTTTAGATATTTATTAACTTATTTTGAAGAAATAAGTAAGCTTTTTGACGCAAAAATACTATGACGTCATGACTCAGTGTTTCATACAGATTTCATAGAAAAATTTAGTTTTTGACATTTGGATAAAAGTATTGAATTTGACTAGTTGGAATAAAATTTACCTGGGGAATATTATCTAACCATTGAAAAATGGTTAAATTATGGTTTAATAGCATTGGCGATTCCAATCTTATAATTTTATATACAAATCCAAGTTATAAAACAAAAAAAAAACTAACAAAACATTTTAGCAGAAAAATAAAAGAAAATCAGAAGAAAAACAGTCATTTTTATATCGTTAAAAAGGAATTAAATTCAAGGATTAGGGCTGATGTTTCAATGGTTAGATAAAAGTTACCTGTGGAATAATTATGATGCTGTCGCGTCACAATGTTTGTTTAAGACAGTGACAGCAACAATTTTATTCCTCAGATAACTTTTTTCTGAATATTGAAAAATCAGCCCTAAAGGATGGATTTTGTAAATACATTTTAGTACATAAGTACAATTAAAATAATTATTTTCTATACATATAAGTAACTTTACTTAAAAAGTTAACATCTTTGAGTATTAATTAAATTAGTTGAAGTTTGAATTCTGCCGGTACCCTCGAGTTAACAGCTTGAAGGCATAGCGTTAGGGGTGTAAACAGCAGTTATTGCAGAATAAAGCGTCTTCGCACGCCATCGGCGATGTTTAATATTAATCTTTGATGAGGCAGCCCTAGGTGCGAAAGAATTATATGGATCAAAATTTAAAGGAGGTATTTTTTTTTGTATTTTTAAAGTGTAGTGAACACATTATTTTGTTGTCGAATTGATATGAGTGTACAGTTGGCGCAGTGGCTGGGCCTGTCGCGCATTGTGTTGCGAGTTTGATACCTGGTCGAAACAACACTTTGTGTTATCCACAAATTGTTGTGCCGGGTCTGGATGTGATGTGTATGTGACATTGTGAAGAATGTGACAGGATAAAATCCAACGTGTTGCAACGTTTTTTCTAAAAAAGAAAAAAGATGTGAAACAACGAAAGTGCTGAGGGATTTTTAATCTTTATAAAGTGCCTTTTCACTCGGTTTCAGATCAACCGATCCCAAGTTTGCACGTGCCGGCATGTTCTAATACACATTCATTGGCCGCCGGGTCCGGCTATCCGGCAACCGGAGCGTGCAAAAAGATACTAACACTACTCAAATGACTTATATTTATAAGTCAGAATAAATAAAACCCTAACCTAACAAAATAAAACAAATTATTTTCGTACGCTTTACAAGATCTTTCAAGAGCAAAGATGTTCGCGTGTCAACGAAATACAAAAGAAAGAAATTTCCTACCTAGAAACTATAAAGACTATAAACCAACTACAGTCATCACTCCTAAAAGAAATAATACTACACTAATAAAGCCTCATGAATAAAGGTCGTGACTAAATAAAGGCACGCGAATAAAGTCGCCGAGACGAAATGGGAGATCCACACTAATCGTACTGTTTATCCAGGGTTGGGCAAAATGGTTTTCTATCTGGTTTTCGTGAATTATTGATGCGAGCTTCCCAATTGGGTGTGTTCACGAAATACTTAGATACTGTATATATATAATATGTATGTATATACATATAGTTTAAGTTTAAGACTATGGTTTCTCTGAAGATTGATTTGATTTGATTTTTATTATTTTAATTCTAGAATCAATAAGATGGTGAACCATCGAAGCCGCCCATATACACCCGCAAAGCCCGAGGAATTACGAGTGCGTTGCCTGCATTTTGGTGAGCAAGGTTTTAGAGATTTAGGCTTTAGGGAGGAGTGGGGATAAGAAGAATGATTAAGCCTTCGATAACCTCTCTCAGACGGCAACGCAACGCTGTGTGAGAGTGGCTAGTTTCACGTTGATTTTCTTTGAGGCCGTGGTTTTATTATTCTAGTTGAGACGGAACATTCGTGCCGAAGCATGGCTCTCCCACACTTACTTATTGTATGTAAGATATCAATAACGCAAGCTAAATATTACGAATTAAATAAACAAGAAAATTGAAATAGAATAACAGAATTCAATATAGTAGCAATATCATTACAAAGTTGAGCACGTCCGCTCCGGATGGCAGTCAGACGACGACTGAGCGCCACCGGAAATAACGTCGCAGTCGCCATCTTACCCGCAACCGGAACTAAGAACTGCTTAATGAGCTCTTGAGACTTACACAAAGAGTTGGTTTCTGTACGTGTACAACAGTAGCTTTATATACAGTGTGTTAATAAACGAGGAATATATTGAAGGAGCTGATTTTGGTGCTCAATTACAATAAACTTTATCCATAGTATCAAGATTATTTTCATATTAATTTCTCAAATCAATTTTAATTTCTCAAAAATAAATTTATTTCCTCTAACGAGTTTTTATTGTACATACAAATTTTAGTGGTTTTAAAGTGGGAGAGCCAATAGCTTCGGCACGAATGGGTCGGCTCAATCGGAGTGATACCACGGCCTCACAGAATACCGGCGTGAAGCAACACTTGGGTTATGTTTCACCGTGTGAGTGAGGTGGTTAGCGAAGGCCAAATCCTTCCCCCCCCCCTCTCAGTCCCCAAATCTTAGATCCCTAATATCCACCCGAGGCTGGCAACGCACTTGTAGTAACTACTTTGGTATTATGAGTCTCCATGGGCGGCGCTGATTGCTTACCATCAGGTAATCCGCATGCTCATTTCCCGACATACGAAATAAAATAATCATCATCATCACTGACTGGAACTTGGAAGAGATCATCAGCTGCTGAACAAAGACCTTCCCCTTAGTACTCCACATCGAACGACAATTCGTCACTTTCATCCTAAAGTTGTGTAAAGGCGTTTGGTCGCTATCACGTCTGATGGTAAGCGGTGATGCGACCCTATGATTGACAGCTACTTATAGGCAATCCATTCACTCAGGCCTCAAAGACGCCCAGGTTATAGTCTTCGGGGAGCACAGACTCCGGCAAATAATTCCACTCCTTCGCGGTTCTTATAATAAAACTGGAGGCGAACCGCTTTGTGTGGGTGGGAACATCCACCATGAAGCGATGACGTTTTGCCGATTGTCTGGTGTTATGATGGTGGAAAGGACAAGGGGGAATCAAGTCCTGCAACTCCTCAAAACAATTTCCGATATGTATCTGGTACGTACCTACATAGTTGACTACACAGACACGCAGACATGTTTTGAACAGGCCAGAATGATCAACGTCATAGTCAACCAGTCATTAAGTACCCCTAAATCTAACATCTACATACGTTACATAGGAAATAATCCGACATATTATACATAATGACAACCTCCCTGAAAATTCACTGACATATATAAACCCTCCGCGCACAAGAAGCCTGAATTAATTAGTTTTAAGTAATTACATCAAAGAGGCACCACCGGAAGTGCAGCCATCTTGTTTGAGCCACGTAATGGCGGGCGGAAGTCGAAAATGGATCCCTAATTGGCGGAATATTGTTGGAACGTTAATTTTAAGTAGGATGGTGTTGAAATATATGTTGTATTACGCTAGTTTTTATACGAAGGGTCGGCAGAAGTGAAATTATTTATGCTGAATTATGACGGGCAATTGTTGTGGAAGTTATGGCGCGCACTTTTCACCCACGAGGGTGCTGGTTCCGTACCTGGCAAGTATCAATGTGACATTTTCCGACTTCTATGTAGGCACTTTCTAAATTTATTTAGACACCACTGACATACGGTGAAGGAAAACATCGTAAAGAAATCTGGACTTATAATAATTTCTAATAATACATTTTAATTTGACTGCACGCAGACTGCATGGTTGTTGCAGTGGCTGGGCAACTGGCTGCCGTGCAACGTCCCGGGGTTCGATTCCCGCACGGAACAAGTCTTTGTGTGATCCACAAATAGTTGTTCCGGGTCTGGGTGTCATGTGTAGGTATGTGAAATTGTTTGTTTGTAAAAGCACCCACGACACATGAGACAATCCAAGTGGGGGCCAACGTTTTTAAAAAAGAAAAAAGAAATTGTTATGTTTGAAACCGTCAATCTGCCTGGGTAAAGTGGAGGCTTTTGCTTAGTACTTAGTGGATACTAATGCGCTGATGATATGACTAGATCAGTGTTTTTTATTATGTAATCTGTATTTAAGTACTGACTCAATAATAAAGAAAAACATTTTCTTCAAATCAGAATCCGTCATAAACAAACTGGTGAAAAGTCAGCCATCTTAAAAACATTAGCGCGGGAAAAATTGCAAATGGCGTCAGCTTTTGTAAGCATTTGACGTATAGAGTGGTTGAGTTGTTCTTTGTGAAGCTGTACGGAGTGGAAACAGGGTTAGAATTCAAGAGTTAATGTGACTTACTTGTAGTGAGTCTACAGGATTTATTCTCTTTATTCAACATATAAACATATAATTTACATTTTTAAATATTTCTTCAAAATTGAAAAGGAAAAAAAAACA